AATATTCCTTTTTCCACCAGAGCAGCAATATCATTTATATTTAAATAATTACTCTTCAGATCTAAAAAGGAATAGAACCCAATTAAAATCGTACAATTGGAAAAAATTCCACTTCGCCCAAAAGTAGGCACCATAAAATTTCATCCGCCCTGTGGGCCTTCAGTGCTCGTAAAACTGTGGAAAAATCCCCTTTCACTTACCGGATTTCATCGACAGCAAACGTTAAATACCACAAAGCGAACATTTTGTATTAGCTGAAAAATAAAACAAAACGGAGAATGAGTAAATAGTTAAGTGATTTTCAAAGCAATTTGGCCGCTAATTTATACGAATTGATTGCACTCTAAATGGCCATTTCCACACCACATGCACTTGTTGGGCTGACACTGAGAATCCGAATCTGAATCACCGAGCGACCTCGAAAAGCGCAACAAATGACGTCGCCGTCAGGCAATGCGAAAAACTCAATCGAACGCGCCCCGCTCATCAGAAAAGTAAGTTCCAGAGAGTCAGAGCTCAATTAAGACCCCAGACACAGAGATAAAAAAGCAGTCGCACAGGCGAACCACCAGCGAAAAGACAACAGTGAAAATATGCCGGCATTATTCAAGGTTTATTTATAAACAAAGCGCGCATGGATGTACGAATGCAAAATGCAGAATGCCAAATTCGCAGAACGTTGAGCGCCGAGGCACGTGAAGTCCCGACTTTTGGGCACTCGGCCAGAGATCAGCCATATCAGTCGGAAAAAATAGGAATCTTTTTTAATAAAAGAAAATAAAAATTTTAATTTTTTAAAGCCTTTTCCTTTAAATTTTGAGTATTTGGAAATTTATATTAATGTAATAAATTGAATATAACGTTGTTAATACCAAATTTAATTCGGAATTTTTAAAAGCGTTTCTTTTTTTTTATTCTTGATCTTTATTATTATTATTAATTTTGTGTTTTTTCAAATTTATATTGAAATACAAATATTATGCTTTTAAATTGTATTAATTCATATATCAATTAACAATTTTAAAGGCACTTTTTGTCAAATTTTTGTTTGTAAAAATTCTTGATCCTTAATATTATTAAAAATTATTTTCCGTGCACTGCAGATCAATTTGGGAATAGGGGTATTTTTTGTGCACCGGATGGCGCCCATCGGTCGAAAGGGTTCTAATTTTAGACCGTTCTGCCATCGATCAATTATGAGTGTTTTCCGCACTGTTTGCCAACCCCTGAGCTTTGTTTATCCCACGGATTTGTGCAAAAGCAGCCCAAAAATCGGCCCTGAGGCTTCGTCTGCGTTTGTTTTCTTTTGCACACGCGGCGTATGAGCAATCTCCGATGGTACACACACACTGACAGTTACGTCACACTGAGCGAATGAGTGGGTGGATGAGGAGGTGGATGTGGATTATGACGAGTGGGTGGTTGGGAAGACTCATTCGCACTCACTGCTGCAGCATGCCACACATAATAAACAACTGGGGACCTGCAGCGTGACCCCTTCTGCGTGCACTCACCTTTTGTGTGCCTCTGTTGGGTAATAAAACGGCTAGAAAAAGTTGCTAGTGGTTCTTCCGGAGGGTTTTCCTTTCCCTTCGTTTTTTTTTTTCGTTTATCAAAAGGTTCGTTTCGTTTAAATGCTTCACAGCTGGTCAAATATCGGGAACTGACTTCGATACTGTGTTGTTTGATTTTGAGTAAAACGTACAAAATTAATTTTCTCTCGACTAGCCCTCTTCTTGCTGTTGAATGCCTTGCTTCTTTCAATTTTTTTCGACTGTCGTGCTCCGTTCCGTGCGAAAATCGACTCAACTGGCGGTAAAAGCGACGAGACTACAGCAACGGCGGCATTCGAATGAGAGAGCCCCAAAGAGAACGGGGAGCACGGAGCACGGAGCGCCGACGCCAATGTTTCCTAGCTGCACTTGCGACGAAGCTTTTCTCACGAGATTCATCCCCCCACCGAACCCGCGGGTTCTGTGTCAGGTACACCGGGAAAAACTGAAAGATTATATCTAGCGGAGAGATTTAATATTGGAAAATATCTTTACCATCTTAGAAAATAAGTAAAAGAAAATATTAAATGAGATTTCGAACCCAAATAAGTTAAAAATTTAATATTAATTTTTTAAGGGTTTCCTGGAAGATATGTTCTATTTTATCCAATAATATCTCAAGTGTCGCTTAATACCTCTTTCTAAAAAAAAATTCTGAATTTCAGAAAATAATTTATCATTTTAAATAAGTTTAAAAAATGTCGATTTATTTAAAAATGGATCTGAAAGTATGTAACGGAGTATAATTCTTCAGAATTTGTAATATAAATAATATAAATAAATAAAATTAAAAATATAAATTTTATAATTTATTATTGAAAATTAATAAAAATTATTTATACTGCAAAAAAAGTAATTTTATGTTAAACTAATACAAACATTTTGTTCAGTGTTCCCTCTTGGATATTTATTTGCGTGTACTCTCCGATTCGTGTTGTTACTCATACGCTTACGCTATGCGACCGCTGTGTGTCAATAATCGAGCTGAAACTGGCCAAAAGGCTGCCTAATCAATAAACGAAAATTTAAAATAGAATTTTTGGTAACAGTTTTTCGAGCACTGGACAATCACATCATTTATGGCTGACTGCAGCGGTTGGCTAAAATCACATTTCGTGGGCCACAAGGGCTGCTGACGCCTTTCGCCGGCTGTCTGTCGTAGGAAACAAACAATCGCAGATAATAAACACGACCGTAACGTCCAGTCATTCATTCAACAGCGCTATCTTTTCCGCAAAGCCCACTTAATTGGCTCTTATCGCTCGACGGAGCCGCTGCAGTTTGAGAGCCACTGGATGCGGGGCGAATGCAGCGGCACGCGCCCAGAATCCGTGGACAGGTTGCATAACGTTTGCGGATACGACGTGCAGCTGCTTACATAAGATGGGCGAGCTGGGAAAACAAGGTCAAAAGTTCAAGGACTGAGAAAAGCTCCCAACATCCTGGAGCGCTTGCGTTGCTCAGCGGAAGTGGAATTGGAAGTTCCTGCCAGCGTGGGGTGGTCTGTTTTTGTTGACATTGCGCTTTTATTATTTTAAATTATGTACTTTTAATCGGCTCCCTTCGGCTTTCATTGGCCCACGAAGTATGCAGCGAAAATAATAAAGCTTTAACTGCCCGCTGGAGGATTATGTCCAATAAATAATTACATAATTAAAAATACCCATTGCTTGTTTTAAATCTCTAACGTTTTTATTGGTTTTTCAATTGAATGCATTTTGTTTGCTACGCCTTAATTGGTTTATATTTCTTGGTTGCCTTAAATTGTAATGATATTGCATATGCCACACAAACTGTCGTTGGCCTCTGTTTTGTTTTATATTTAAGCTTTAAAATCTTGCACAAATCATAAGCATGGCAAATCAAATGGAAATTGACTCTAAATCAAAGGTTTGCTTTCATATATTTAAAGCTATGTGCAATTTTTATGTGTGTGTTTTTCTACATATCGGATATATAATTTAACATTTGATTTCTCTCCCTCCTCACTTTTCTTCCTGATATCCAGATATCCTGATACCCAGGATATTCCGCCTGCTGTTGCCTCACTCGAACACTTCGGTTCTAAACTTTGGTTCCCCTCCTCGTCCTTCGTAATCCCCGCTAATCTAACTACTAGTGGATCTGATTCGATCTCTTACGATTCGCATTGAATTCATATCATTGGCCATTTGCGATGGTCCTTCGCTTGGTTCGCAGTTTTGGAAAGGTTGTTAACATTCTTTTGTTGGTCGCACACGTTTCGAATTGGCTTGTCTGTAGTTCTGTAGTTCTATGTGTCGGTGTTATCTTTGTGTGTTGTCGGTTGTTGTTTGCCTTTTGTTGGATTTTGTTATATCACAGCTTTCTTCTTCACTTTTGCTCTTATAACTTTTAAGCATAACTTGCATATACATATATAAACATTGTTGTTAATGCACGGCTGTATCTTATCGTCTTTTCTATCCCTCCTCTCTCGCCCATGTAGCACTTGTTGTTCCCCTGAATACCGACATCGGGCTATACTCTACATACATATATTAACACGCTGGCTTTTGTTGTTGTTGTTCTCGATCAACACTTATCTTAAACTTGGTTGTTGTCTCTCTTGGATCAGTACATACGTTAGCATAAATCGCATTGGTTTGTTGTTGTTGTTTGTGGAATGGTTTACAAAATTGGTTTCGGTCTCTTCGAATTTAAATACAATAAATGGCATATAAAATATATATTTTTTTTTTGTAGTAAGTATACAAAAAGAACGTTACTCATATACAGCAGCGTTGGAAGTGACTCTAGTATAACAGAAAAACTTAATACTTTTTTTCATTTACGTTGATTGTAATTGAATGAATACATTGATTGACGGCCCACAACGATTAATGAAGGCTGGGTATTGCACTAATGATCTGACACAGTCTTGGCTCTATTCCATAGCTACAAGTCGGTTTAATTTTGAGGTACAATGTTTTTTTATAAATAACAAATCAAGTGACTATGTTTTATAAATAAAGAATGGATAAACTCTAATCCTTTTAAATTAATTTGGAATAAACTCTTGTTTAGTACTCCATAGCTATCAGGATTTATTGAGGAACGTAGCTAGGATAGCTATGAAATAGAGCTTTTATCCCCTAGGCCCCCATTAATCAGGCCCTGCCTTTCCAATGCTTACTACCGTTCTCATTGCTTCAATCGTGCACTATCTTAGGTCGCATTTTGCACGGGCTGTTGTTCTTGGAAGCAGCATGACACTTTTATCACATTTGTTGTTGGTGTTGGTTGTTGTGTTGGTACGTACTAGACTTAAATTAAATGTACAGCCACTTGAAAACAGGTCTGCTAACATATTTTGGGTCGTGGATTTCAAATCTCTTGCAAACCCCGACACTGTTTTCATTTTACAATTGCTGTTTTAGCTGTTTGACAAACATTCTTGGATTGCTCCGCTATTCCACATGATTTGCACTCGTTTTACAAAATTAATATTCGCTATTGCAGTTCATAACAAAAATTATTACATGCATTGGTTACATATAGATACATACAAATATAGATGGTCGATTGGATAGTTGTAAGAGTTGTCTTGAGATCGCATTCTGTTTGCGGCTGCTTGTCCCAGAGACCCAGTGCCATCCTCCGCGTTGCTCTGACAACGAAGTCAACACCCTCGTCGCGATTTCCATTATCGTTCAGTCTTCTGTTTCAATAGATTTTGTGTTTGTTTAGATTGTTAGATTTGAGCAAGTACTTTGTGGTTGTTGTTGTTGTTCGGTTGTTATCTAAATGCTCAGCATGATCTTCAGGTACCATTGTTGTTGTTGTTGTTGATGTTGTCATTGTTGCGGTTGTACTTGTTGGTCGGCAAGCAACTCTGGGGAGGATGAGCCGCGGATCGTGACAACACGCTGCTGTTTTGTGCAAACATAGGTTAAATATAGTACATAGTTGTATAAATTAATGCCTGTGCTACGAAATACTTAAAAGTTGATTTTGGGTCTTACAATTGCCTGCCTTTCGCTGGCCCGTTTATCTGGCCACAACGCATGTACCACTCACACACGACAGCTACCTTAGCTCCTTTTGGCTATTACAACACATATATATCTTCTGTGTGGTGTCTTGTATTCGCTTACAATTTGCTTTCGTTTTGCTGGTAATATCACTTTAAACTACACAAATGGCGGCGCTTAGCGAACGAGGATCGAGCTCTCGTTGTTGTTACATTTGCTTTTGTTGTTGTTTGTTGGTTTATCACAATTGAGCGCCGGATTCCATACTTATTCACACTACTACAAAGGTTAACAATTTGTGCCAATTGAGTTTTGAGCAATCAATTTGACATTGGTCGTAGTTTTGGTTTTACAAGCATTTTTCAACACTTTTGTTATGTTACTTTTAAACTTAGCTAACTAGACAATTCGCTTAACAATTTTGTTGTTGTCGTTTTTGTTTCTTTTGTATGAGAGTTGGTGTCGCAATTGCTCACACTGGCTTGCATTTGCATCTGCACTCGCTTTTGCATTTCGCTTGAATCACAGTTGTTGTTGCTTATAAAATGATGTTTCTCTAGCAGATTTCAACAAACTCATTTCGCCCCGTTACATAATTACATAAATTTGTGAAGTGCTCAAGTCTTTTGCCTTGCTCCTAACATTCCTGTTGCTCTTAATCGGCCGCCTTTGAACTAACAAACGAGGTCTAACTGCGATTTTGATTACAAAAACTAAGAACTTGGGAAATTTAACTTCTATAAAATGCTGGCCAATCAAAAGGTTTGGTTTACATATACAAATTTTGATAACTTAGTATAACGGTTGAATTTTTGCTTTTTGCTTACATATCTCTTTTGGGTTTAGTTTTAGCTACGTAATTAGGTTTTGCAATTTTAAAATTAATTTCTATGCGCTCGAGTTGATCACGTGTCATGTTTGCTTTTCTCTCCTTCACTTGATGACTTTGCTTCAATTTTTGGTTATTTTGTTTAGTGAGTCCCTACCTCGCCCACTTACTGGCTGAGATCCTGGCGCAGCATTTCGTACACGAACTGGTCGCGTAACTCGTAGTCGAAGGCCAGCGATGGCGGCATCTTGTCGGGGCTGATGGGCGACCACTGTTGTCCCAGCAAGGTGCTTATTTCCTAAGGCACAATCGAAATGGGGTTATTCACATTGATATTGGAAGAAATCCAAAGAGAACTCACCTCATTATAGGCATTCAACGAAGCAGCGCCGGACCAGTCGATCATGGAGACCTCTAGACGCTTCAGCTGGCGACCCCGAAGACGGGCGATGCCCACGAGATTGTGCGGATCCATCAAATAGCCGTGCACCACGATCTCCTCCAGCTGCTTGCAACGCCAGGCCATCATTACGAAGGGGTCCTGGCGCAGAAAGCCGTGGCGAGCGTAGTCCATGCGGTTGGAATGCTTGTACGCCGAGTCCACATAATGGATGCTGCGCAGCGTTTCGCTGTGGTGCACCGACATCCAGTCCAGGGCTTCGGCGTTCATCTGCTCGCAGAATAGCAGTCGCACATGGGTAACCGGCATGTTTCTACGCAGGACGCGATGCTGCAGCAGTTCAATGGCCTCGTAGGCGTACACAAGGGTCAGCACCAGCTCAATGCTCGAAAAGTGGTCGGAGAAAAGGGACCATGCCGTCTCCGAGACATCGGGATGCTCCTCGCTGTCCAGGCCGTGCACTGCGATGAGCAGTTTCCGCAGCGGCAGCACTTGTATGGTGTGCAGCAGTTCGTCGGAGAGCGTGTCGTAGTCCAGGGAGAGCACCTGCAGGGCGGCGCACTTCTGTAGGAGGGTCGCGTCCAGCGAGAGGATGGGATAGTGACTAGGATCGTACTTAATGCTGGCCAGCGTCAGCTGCAGCAGTTCCTGTGGCTTGCCCATGGCCTTGAGGAAGTCATGGCCATAGTATGAGAGGGCCTCGATGGCCCCAAGGTCCAGAAGCTGACATGGCTGACGCTTGCGGCTCAGAAACAGCTTCAGCGGCTCCACAAAGCACCTGTAGGGGTTGTTTTGTTATTTAACTTGTTAAATTAAGCATCTAAAGTGGGACTACTTACTGTTCAATGGCCACCAAGTGATCGCTGTGCATATTTCCGATGGCAACAAGGCCCACATTGTGGGTTTGGAAACGCAATTTCTGGATATTATCACAGCGTGCCACTCTGTGTGTAGAAAAAGGAATATTAGTTTAAAAACTTGTTAGATTTTTATATTTTTAAGAAAACTTACTTGTATAGAAGTCGTCGCATTTTCTGGATGTGAAATGCATTTTGAAAGTCAAAGACTACAATCAATTCCCTGGCCAAATTGGCCATGGATCGATGGAAGAAGGCCAACTGATCATCGCGGGCCACATCCAATTGAAAGCGAAAGTTTCTAAAGTAGCTGTGGGAAAAGAAAAAAATTAATTTGTTGAAAAATATCATTAAACTCTAATCAATTGAAATAAGTTCACTTAGCATAAAGTTAAAATTGTAAAAAATAAATATATTAAAAAAAATTAATAAAGTTTCTCAAACTGAGATTTTATTAGTAATGAAATAAATAATAATAGTGACAAGAAAAGTAGTTAAAATTTTAACCTCGTAGTATCAGATAATACATATATTTTAAATTTATTTAAATTTAATTTAAAAATATGATAATAGTTTTTGTCCCATAGTATTAAATAAATAAAATCACCCAGAAAAGAAAATTACATATAGGTAATAAAAATAAATGTCCATTTCGCAATCGCATCGATCGCATTATAGAGCTCGTTCCGATCGGATCAATTAGTTTAATTAATTGCATTTATTGGCAGGGGGAATTCCTCTTATCGTGGACTTTCCCCTTTTTTCCACACTAACATAAACAAACGGGCCGAGGTGTTTGCCCCACACATTGAAACGTTGCCAAATGCGTCGAATACAACAACGGCAGTCGAAAACATCCAATAATTTTGGGGTCTTTGATTGCTCATGCTTGCACAGATGTTTTTCTGTGCTTCATTAACCTACGGCTGTATAATATAAGCAACAAACAAAGGAAATATACCCAATAAGACCCGAAATTAAACATTTTAGCCACATATACACACAGACACACCCACACAGGCACAGCAAACTTACCGTTTCTGAAAGAAGGAAAGTCTCCAGGAATAACAAACACTCGCTGCTGATTTGCGATCAGGGGCATCCAGGTAGTCGAATATGTGATTTAGTGCCACCGCTGGAACTGTGTGCCATTCTGGTTGGCGTTGGCTAAAACTCATTACTCGAATTAAATATTAATTGCGTTTCAAAATGAAAAGATGCAAGTGCAGCCGAGTTTGCTGCACGATTTAAAATGCCAAATTAGAGTGACCGTGGCGGCAAGTGGCGAATATGCCAAGCGCTGGGGGGCAAATAATAACGGCACTTAAATTTTAAGCTCTGAACAAATACACTTATTAAAAAATATTAGGTATCAAAATGATGTTTTGACATTTTAAGTAAGCTGAGTTAATGGGCAATAGCAAAATTACAAATGATTAATAAAGAAAAGCAATTAAAAAAGTTAAAACAAATTTATAGAAAGTGCTACATATGAAGAAACAAAGTTTATTTGTTTATACTCAGAATTTATTGAAATACAACTTTTATTTTTAATGTCTTCCAAAATTTTGTTTTTAGAAGAAACAAAGGTACTCAAGGGTTAATGCTGATTAACATCTGGGTTTATTTGGCCGCATAGGCCATGGTCATACTGTCCTTAGCAGAGCTATGTTAACAATCAGCTGTTCTGTTCTGTTATGCATAACATAGCTCTCTGTAACTTTTTAGTTGTTTACCTCGATTAGTTTTTATTTATTAATTTAAAATGGCAGCTTTGCTGCTTTTGCGCGCCTGCAGAAGGCCAGCAATAGCTGGCGCCTATAACTACACCTACCCAGGAACAGCGACTGCCAACCACCGCCAGGCGTCCACAGAAGCGGCGGCCACTGCAAGTGAACAATTGGCAAATGCCGGTGGTTTGGTGGGCTTCTGGCAGACTTTGTCCAATAGCACGCCGGTGGCCCACATGCAGGATGTCCTCATCAAGATCCACGACTACAGCGGCCTGCCCTGGTGGGCATCCATTGTGCTGTCCACATTCCTCTTCCGCAGCGTCGTCACCCTGCCACTGACCATTTACCAGCACAAGATCACCGCCAGGATCGAGAAAATAGCCCTGGAGATGCCCGCCATAGTAGAGGAGCTGAAAAAAGAGGCGGCCATGGCCAAGCAGAAGTTCAAGTGGAGCGACCAGCAGACGCAGATCGTTTACCGGCGTTCGGTTTGTTAGATTAGAACCCCCCATTTCGAAGTACTTCTAATCCGAATCCAATTTATCTGTTTTTAGATCAAGAAGCAGTGGCAGAACCTGATAGTCCGGGACAACTGCCATCCCATGAAGACCATGATTGTGCTCTGGGGTCAGATTCCCCTGTGGATCTTCCAGTCGGTTGCTCTCCGCAATTTAGTGTACATGCTGCCGGATCCCCTGTCCATTCAGGCTCAAATCGTGACCACCGAAATGACCATTGGCGGTTTTGGTTGGATACCCAACCTCACAGTGGTGGATAGCTCCTACATCCTGCCCGTAACGCTGGGACTCATCAATTTGGCCATCATCGAGGTGCAGGCCATGTCCCGGACGCGTCCTCCCACTCGTTTGCAGGGCATAGCCAACAATGTGTTCCGCGGCCTAAGTGTTGTGATGGTGCCAGTTGCCTGCACCGTTCCCTCAGCCTTATGTGTTTACTGGGTAGCGTCCAGCAGCTTTGGCCTTGCTCAAAATCTGCTCATGCTCTCACCGGAAATCCGACGATCTGTGGGAATTCCCAAAACGCAAACGGAACTCAGCCAGCCGTACGATTTGCTCTGGCTGAAAATACAGCAGAGGCTAAGACTCGTCGAAAGGCCACCGGCTGATAAGCCGGCAGCCAAATGATCTAGTCCCCTAGTCATAGCCACCTAGTCTAATTTAGGTAAGACGTTGAGTTTGTTTTACTGTTTTGTATAAATATATACATAGACAAGCCCTAAATGCGACTGCGCCACTGTAAATCATCATCATCATCATCCTAAGGCTGCATCATCTCAATTCACAAGAAACAAATAAACGAGTGAAAATCCCCAAAAGAGAAGATAAGGCAGCGAGAAAGGTCTTGAGATTACTAGCCCAGATAGTGGGCCACTCAATTGGTCCGGCGACATACGAGCATCTATCAGCGGCGGCAGAGATAGAGATTCATCCCGAGCCCAATTGAATGGAAATGCGATCTGGTTGTGAGTCAGTCGAGCCTGGACATCGAACGGGATCACAACGAAATAATTAAAGCGCGTTTCGAGAAACATAATTCAAAAGTTGCTATCAGCAGCGGTGCAATACATAAAATATATATAAAATCGAACTAAATATGGCCAAATGGCTCATGGGCCTTTGGCTGGCGATCCTGCTAGTGGATGTTAGTATAGAAAGTGATTGTTTTTTTTGAATGGAAAGCTTTTTAAAAGGATAACATCCTTAAGATCTAAACTAAAGAGTCTATTTGCAAATTTAAAACCTCTAAAGACCCGCTTTAAATTTGTCTTAATTATAAGCTATTAGCTAACTATCACTTTTAATTACTTAAGTTCTTCAAAGGATAATATCCTTAAGTCTATTTGCAAATTTAGACCCTCTAAAGACCCTCTAGAAATTTACCTTAATTATAAGCTATTAGCTAAATATCGCTCTTAATTTTTTAATAATATTTCATAATTGCGCTTTCGACAGCGACCCGGGGTTATAGCTTATCGATCAGGCGGCTTATCAGCAGCCGGGCACGGAAGCTCGAGTTACGGCGGCGACCAACAGCAACCTATTTATCAGCGGGACTCACCGTGTCCGCCGCAATTCACGGGTCTGGTTGCGTATCCCCACGACTGTCATCGCTATGTGAACTGCTACGCTGGTAGCCCCACCATTCAGACATGCTCGCCGGGAACCCTGTTCAACCCGAGGTCCCTGGTGTGCGATCATCCCAGCAATGTGGATTGCTCCTCGGCGGAATCGCAATCTACTCGCCTGGGACGTTTGCAGCAGTTCGATAGTAAACCCAAGTGTCCAGCGGGATTAAATGGATTGCATCCGCATCCGACGGATTGCACCAAGTTCCTTAACTGCGCCAATGGCCAGGCCTTCGTCATGGACTGCTCACCGGGAACGGCTTTCAGTGCAGCATCGCTCGTTTGTGTGCACAAGGAGAGCGCCAATTGTGGAGGTGGAGAGGGAACCTCGGACCACGGTACGTATGAGCGATTCATATTAGAGCCCTGCATGAATGGATTCAGTGAATTATTTTTATTTTTCGTTTTATTTGAATGAATTAATTAGAATTTTGAGTTCAATAGAATTGAATGAATTTGAATTTTGAGTTTAATATTTTAATATTTAATAATTCCGAAATAATTGAAACGACACTTTCTTTTGAAGAAGAAAGAGTCATAATTTTGTGGTTAAATCTGCCTGAATTTGATTCACTATGCAGTTAACATTGATTTGTTAAAAATTTTTGACTTTTTGTTCTCAGATTAAAGCACAAAAAAAATCTTGCAAATTAAAAAAATTCATAAAAATTATTCATATAGAAAGAAAGAATTCAATTTATTTCACATAGAATTGAATTAAACAAACCAGAAATTTTATGGCATACTATGATAAATCAAAAATTGAACGATTCACGCAGGGCTCTAATTCATATTTATAAACCCCAACTAACACCCGGGTTAGGCTATCCTGTGGCTCCTTTGGCACCTTCGGAGGACTTGGGTTGTCCATCCGGCTTTCGGGGCATTCGACCACATCCCCACGACGTGCACAAGTATTTGCGTTGCGGCATTGGCGTCAAGCCTCAGGTGGAACAGTGTCCGCAGGGAACGATCTTCGATGGCTCCACTTTGGTATGTGTGTTTTCTGACTCCTCTCGGACCTCCTGTAAGTTTGACTTCATTCCTTATCCGTATTATATGCTTGGCCTGGCTTGGTTCATCTGCTTTTCCATTTGAGCTTACCTTCTCATCCTATGCGATTCATGCTTTGCTTGCTTATTGGCTTCTTTCTCTGATATAATATTATTCCCTTAAAATTCTAACAGCTTCCTCCTTCACCTCCGCTGAGATTCAGGTCAACTACCTCCTGTGTCCAGTGGGAGCAGTTGGCCTGTTTGTTCACCCCTTCGATCAGACCAAGTTCCTTAGCTGCAAGGATGGTAAGGCGGCTGTGCAAAGCTGCCAGCCCAATTATGTGTTCAGCATTTCGAGGGGTTACTGTCAGCTGAAAACGCAATTAGCCTTCAGCGACTATGTGACATTGATTATCTCCCAAGTGACCTATGAGTATTGTAAGTTGATTGATTTTTCTTGTGCCCTGAAATTTATTATGAACTTCCATTAGCATTGATATTAAATGCCTGTCCTGGCAATATCAACGGCATCTACCTGTATCCGTACGATGCTGAAAAGTATGTTCAGTGCTCGGCTGGTGGCAGGATGTCCATCCTAAGCTGTGGCCCCCAGATGGCCTTCAGTGTCTCCCGAAGGTCTTGTCTTTCGCGTAGCCAAGTGCACATCACTGACCGGGTGAAGTTCTGGGAGGAGATCCAAGTGCAGACCACGTACACTTCCCAAAGCAGACAGCAGGGATCTTCAATCAGATCGTGTCCATCCAATGTCCAAAAGAACTACCCCTATCCCTTCCATGCTGGCCACTATGTAAAGTGCCAGAATGGAGTTTTAGAGATTGTCTGTTGTCCCACCGGACAGCTATATAGCCTCTCCCAGCGAGAGTGCGTGGCCCATTACCTTCTCTCTACCCATGACTTCTTGGATTACTCCTATATCAGTTCCGAATTTTCAAGTAAGCTCCCTGCGCAACCCTCTTTTGGATTGACTTGACTTCTTAGACCTTCCTCCCTTACAGCTGAATTTATGATTGATCGATCGACGCTCACTTGTCCTCCACAAGTCCAGGGATACTATCTGCATCCCTTCGATTGCACCAAGTACGTCAGGTGCTGGAATCAGCAGACCTTTATTGAGAACTGCACACCCGGAGAAATCTTCAGTTTCTCCAATCAGAAATGCGTTCCGAAGGACCAATGTAAGGGCCTCACCGATCATGTGGAATATTTGATTGAAACCACAACTGTTACGACTTACGAGGCGAATGGACCGGAACCCGAAAAGAGCTTGGATGGAAGCGGTGACATCAGATGCCCACCTGGATCCTCTGGTCTGCATGCCCATCCATTCGATTGCACCAAGTTCTTGGAATGTGCAAATGGACAAACTTACATTAAGAACTGTGGACCGGGAACTGCTTTCAGCACTGCCATCAAGAGTTGCGATTTTGCCAACAAGGTGGACTGCACCGGAAGAGGCTCTTTGAATCAAGTTACGCAAACTAACCAAGGACCAAGCTACCCAACAAAACCCGTTGAGATACTTCCACCATCACATTCAACCAGTAAGTCGGATCATAAGGACCTTTTAGCTTGATTCACCTGCTTATTCATTTGGGTTTTGGTTCACTATTTTGCTAATCATTCTCCGCTTGCCTTCTAAGATTAAGACATAATGCGTACACACTTTTCTAGACCCCTCGTACCCACCTGCTGAACACCTGACAGACCTTTTGTGTCCATCTGGAGTGCAGGGTCAGTTTGTTCACCCCTTCGACCAAACAAAGTTCATCCTTTGTCAAGCTGGTAGACTGGCGGTTCAAAGCTGTCAGCCTGGTTATGTATTCAGCATATCCAAGGGAAGCTGTCAGCTCAAGATCCAGTTGGTCTACACCGACTATGTGACCTATATAGTCTCTGTGATCAGCATAGAGCAGAGTAAGTCTTTTCTTTGGCTCCCCAACTGGTGTGTATAATTCACCACATTAAAATCTATCAGCTACGATCCTCTCCGCTTGTCCTGGTGGCACCGATGGTCTTCATCTTTATCCCTACGATGCTGCAAAATATGTGCGTTGTTCTAATGGCAAGATGTCCATTCTAACCTGTGGAACGGAAATGGCCTTTAGTTTGGCCCAGCGAGCTTGCCGCCCAAGTCGACTGGTGGCGAGGGAAGATCGTGTAAGGTTCTATGAGGAGTTGCAGGTCCAGACAACGACAACGACGACCTATACCAGTAAGGACCTTCAGGAACATCAGTCTCCGCTTAGAGCTTGTCCACCCAGTTTGCAGGGGAACTACGCATATCCCTTCCACGCTGGCAATTTTGTAAACTGCCAAAATGGCCGCTTACAAATTGAGAGTTGTCCCCAATCAGCTTTATACAGTCTACCTCAACGCCAGTGTGTAGCTCGTCGGCTTCTCTCCACACATGACTATGTGGATTATAGCCTAACCGCACCCCAATTAACGAGTAAGCTCTTTTTTTAGAAACCCCTGTGAAGAATACTAGGTAATCCTTCCCATTCGCAGCTGACCTCATTCAGGACTTCTCAATATTGTCTTGTCCTCCGCAAGCTAACGGCCATTTCTTACATCCTTTCGATTGCACCAAGTATCTGATTTGCTGGAATAAACAAACCAATGTAGGAAGCTGCAAGCAAGGCGAAGTATTCAGCATATCTCAGCAAAAGTGTGTTGTCCGGGATAAGATAACTGAACCTTACGATCGAGTGGAGTATTTCGAGGATACACAGCATGAGTTGAGCCAGGAAGCGGATGAGGAAGAGGAGCAGCCGGAGCAGGGCAAAGAACTCTCTCCTGGAGGAGGTTATCAGTATGAAACACCTTATAATTCGAATACAGGCTTACTGCCAACTTCTCAGAGTAATGAAGATTACCAATCTCCATATCCAACAATTGGAGGTTACCAACCACCATATCCCCCGAATGGAGGCTACTACCAGCCACCCTCTAAATCAACCGGAGGTTACCAACCACCTTCTCAATCAACCAAAGGTTACCAGCCATCTTCTCCAACAACTGGAGGTTACCAGCCACCTTCTCAATCAACCGGAGCTTCTCAGGCATCTTCATTTTCTCAGTCATCTTCTCAATCAACTGGAGGTTACCAGCCACCTTTTCAATCAACCGGTTCTCAGTCATCTTCATCTTCTCATTCATCATCTCAGTCATCTTCTCAATCAACTGGAGGTTACCAGCCATCTTCTCAATCAACCGGAGGTTATCAGACATCTTCTCAAACAACTATCGGTTACCAGCACCCTTCTCAATCACCTGGAGGTTACCAGCCACCTTTTCAATCAACCGGAGGTTCTCAGTCATCTTCATCTTCTCATTCATCATCTCAGTCATCTTCTCAATCAACTGGAGGTTATTACCCACCTTCTCAATCAACCGGAGAGTACCAGCCACCTTCTCAATCAACTGGAGGTTACCACCCACCTTCTCAATCAACCGGAGGTTACCAGCCACCTTTTCAATCAACCGGAGGTTCTCAGTCATCTTCATCTTCTCATTCATCATCTCAGTCATCTTCTCAATCAACTGGAGGTTACTACCCACCTTCTCAATCAACTGGAGGTTATTACCCACCTTCCCAAACGAGTGGTGTAGCTCACTATCCCGGAGGAGTAGAGCCTTCTGCCCCACCACCATCTCCTCTGATGTGCCCAGAAAAGGCTAGTGGCCTCTTTCCGAATCCCTTCGACGCTACCGGCTATCTGACCTGCATCGATGGACAAACCCTAGCCAGGCAATGCCCACCCCTAGATTTGTTCAGTGTTTCTCAAGGATACTGCTTGCCAGAGGAGCATGTGGCCAAAACGGATCGTATTCCGTTTGAGAGAAAGCAAACCGATCAGGATAATCGTGAGTGGCAACAGCCCAGAAAACCCATCTAAACAGGTTCCCTGATCCTGACCTCTTCGTTGCAGCTTTGGCCTGTCCCAGAGGTTCCTTCGGCTTCTTCGTGTATCCCTTCGATTGTTCTAAGTACCTGAGCTGCGGTCCTAATGGCATGGAACTGTTGAATTGTCCGGTTGATCAGCACTACAGTGTTTCCCATGGCATTTGCAAGCCCCTTGATCAGGTTCTACGAGAGGACCGTTTGTACACGCTCAGAGAGCTGTACATAATTTACGAGTGGACCCAGCGGATGAAAATCGTGGGCGCAGTGACCGCATGTCCCGAGGGAATAACCGGAACCTTGCCGCATCCACGTCTGCCCAGCAAATACCTTCGATGTGGACCAGGCCAGGCCGAAATGTTCGACTGTCCGAGCCAGCAGATTTTCAGCGTCTCCCGAAGAGTGTGTGTGCTGGATGAGAAGCTCGCCAGCGACGATCGCACCGATTATTTAGTTCCAACTTCCGGTTGGATTATTCCGTCTAATGGTTACTAACCTCTGGTAAAAGTCTTGCTCTTTTTAAGTTTTCTCTCCCTCTGCTTCTAGACAATCGTCAATCGAAATCTTTCGAGACCTCTGGCACGGATCAGTTCGGCAACCGATATACCACGAAGACTACGACCACTACGCGGGTTATTGGAGACCGTTGGACGGATATGAATATGCAGCGACCTTCGGGAGTTGGACTGGAACAAAACCACCATCATCAACATCATCATCATCAGCACGCTTACAACCCGAGTTGGTCTGGCCAGGAGACGTCCTACGTACAGCGTGGACCTTCCCAGAACACTCTCTTTGTGGAGGGATCGCTGCAGCCGAACCGTAATTATCCTACCTATAAGACTCCGTTGGCACCCATGTCGCCACCACCCAGCGATACTGGAAAGGATAAGCAAGCCGGGCACGAAAGTCCAGTTCCATCGCGACAAGGCTATAGTCGCAGAATCGATTACGGCTCACCTGACAATGGATGGAAACCCATGCCACCACTGGCTCCGATGGGTGGACAGAAACCATTAGATCTAGACTACACACCCCATTCCCCTGGTGAAAGTGAACCCCAACCTCATGATCCCCTGCCCGGACAGAGACCCCTTGACTTGGACTATGATGACCAACAAAAGCCCCAAGATCCGTTTAACGGACTTCATCCTCCACCTCCGGGATCGCCACCTCGTTTCTATCCAGATCAGTTGCCCAGTGGCTCGAAACCTATTGGTAGACAGCAACCAATTGACTCCGATGATGGTTTTCCAGACCAACAAAGACCATTAGATCCTAACAATGATCTTCAGGGATCACATACTCCGCCAAGACATAACTCCAATCCTGGGCTGCCCTTGTACAATGAATCCAATCTATATGGCGGTCTCCTACCTCCCAAACCAGATTCCTCAGTTAAACCCACTCCACCACCTCCCAATCCTTTATCTTCCCAGACTCCTACACCGCAATTGGGCAACCGCCTGCACACATTTCCCATTTATCCAGCTGTGGGTGATCAGACCTTGCAACAGAATCCCCGACATCCCCACTACAGTCCTTCGTATGCAGGAATCGCCCACTCTCGAAATGCCTCTTGGGCCAAAGTCCCAGTGACCAGTACAACTACACCCCAAGATCCCGATCCCTTTAATCCCGAAATGGAGGAACCCTTCTATGACGATGATGATTTCACGACCACAACAACGAGGCAGGCACTGGTGCCACCTCCTTTTGACCATAAGTTCTACAGTCCCCAGTCTTCAGTTCCAAGTTATAGTCAGTCTGGTTCTACTCCCAATCCCAACTCCCAAGCGGCCATCAAAGAGGCTCTCAAACTGATGCTTCGTCCCTATTTCAATCACAGTGGAAATGCACAAGAAAAGCTGGCCAAGCAGGCTGAATCGGCCATTGTGTCTGTGATTAGTAAACCTCCAACCACTACTCCAAAATCCACAACGACCACTTCCACGACACCCAGAATAGACCTCGACTCGGACGCCGAACTGATTAAAGCTGGTGAACAGGAGAGCCTGGACTCCGTTGACTACGACTATGTTTTTCCAGATGCCAGGGTGACATCCCGGACCGAGCAGACCCTATCTCCCAGTACCACTTACGCCTCGACAGACTTTCAAAGGAGCACCCGCAAGGCAGAGTTTCACCCGAACACCCCAACCCCAACTACTACAACCACAATGAAAAATAATTGGCTTGCGTCCGGTCACAATCGTGAATATCACCGACGTCATCCAAATCTACCCGATCCGTTCACCGGTCACCATCCCAATCCCTCCCACCACCATCGCCACCCCCATGAGCACAGTGCCGACTTCCATCGTCGTCATCCGGAACTACCAAGTCCATTTCCCCAAGAAAAAGAGACTGATCAACAGGAGGTGCCAGATGAGGACTGGGAGCTAATGGCTAATCCCAATGCTGAGGAAGTGACTCCGAAACTGGCAGCCCGTTCGAGTTTCCACAACCAATGCGAATTCGATTGCGGTAATGGCAAATGTCTGAAGAAGGAGCAGGTCTGCAATGGTCAGAAAAACTGCGATAATGGAAAGGATGAGACCAACTGCCCGCCTTTGGATTACGAGGTGCGTTTAACTGGAGGAGAAAGCCCCCATATGGGTCGTATTGAAGTCAAGGGTGAGTAGGTTTTTAAAGTGGTACTCCTAGATATCTTAATTCCTAATTCCCCATCAATCTATCAATCAGCTAATGGTCAATGGGGCTACGTGTGCGATGACAAGTTTGGTCTTAAAGACGCCGATGTCGTGTGCCGGGAACTTGGCTTCCAGTTGGGAGCCCAGGAAGTTCGTGGCAGCTCCTTTTATGCTCCCCCCAACCAGGACTTTAACTATCTGATGGATGAGGTCGAGTGTCATGGCAATGAAACCAAGCTGAGGGATTGCGCCTTCAAGGGTTGGGGTGTCCACAACTGCGGGGTTGACGAAGTAGCCGGTGTGACCTGCAAGGTTCCGGTGATGAAGTGTCCCAATGACTACTGGCTATGTCAGACCTCCAAGGAATGCATCCCGCCCGCATTTGTGTGCGATAATACTGAAGACTGTGCGGATAAGTCGGACGAAAGCGCAGCCGTCTGTCATGTGAGTAAATCGGAAATATTTATATTTTCTTTATTGTAATCATTAACATCTCTTCAGGCACCCGCTCAGTACCGTTTGGATGGAGGACGCAGTGCCAACGAAGGACGACTGGAAGTTAAATACCGTGGCGTTTGGGGCAGTGTTTGCGATGATGACTTTAACCTGAAGGCGGCCCAAGTTGCCTGCAACTCCATGGGTTTCTTTGGACCAGCGGTATTATAAAACAACCCATTTTTATACCCGTTACTTGTTGAGTAAAAGGTCGAGTTGGCCATGTCCGTCTGTCTGTACGTATGAACTCTGAGATCTCGGAAACTACAAAAGCTAGAAAGTTGGGATAACCCACACATATTCTTTAGCTTTCTAGGCAGCTCAAGTTTGTTTCAGCAGAGCGGTACGTCCCCTTTAATGCCCACAATCGCCTTTAACTATTTTAAAAGGTGTATGGCGCCCACGCCTTTAAAGATTTCGGATAAGTAAAAATGCAGTTTTATTGTTTTATTATTACCTATCGAAATGTAGAAGAAATTTTTAAAATCGGACCATTCCTTAAAAAGTTATGCCCGATCAAAGATTAATATCTCTATCTCCCTGGCACTCCCTTTACCTGAGTAACGTGTATCTGATAGTCGGGACACCCGACTATAGCGCTCTCTCTTGTTAGTTTAATAGTCTTAACATTTATCTTATATTCCCCAGAAAATTGAGAAAAACATTTATGGCATTGGCAACGGACCCATTTGGCTCGATCAGGTGATGTGCTTTGGCAACGAGACCAGCATCGATCTGTGTAACCACTTCAACTGGGGCGAGAACAACTGCAATCACACCGAAGATGTGGCGCTGCATTGCACTGCAGGACCACCACCTCGTAGTCAAAAGTATGCCCAGAGTCAACTTAAAGGAGGTAGGATGCTGGGAGAGGAAACTCCGGCCAGTTCCTATTCTCAAATTGGCCTGTGGGAGCGATCTAGCAAAGCGCTGCATACTCCCCGTCGCTGTGGCATCTTCAAGGACGACCTGACCGATGAGTACGCCCATCGGGAGGAGCGCGTGGTCAGGGGAAATGTGGCGCAGCGGGGTCGTCATCCCTGGCAGGCCACCTTGAGGACCCGTGGACGTGGCGGTATCTCCAGCCATTGGTGTGGAGCGGTCGTGATTTCCAAGCGCCATCTCCTCACCGCCGCCCACTGTCTGTATGGCACATCGAAGGCAGCGTACTTTGTGCGCGTCGGCGATCACTATGCAAATATAGCCGAGTCCTCCGAGGTGGATACGTACATTGAAAACTGGTACATACACGGGGACTTCCGCAAAGGAACTCATATGAACAACGATATTGCACTGGTGGTGCTGAAGACTCCTCTGCGGTTTAGTGATTACGTTCAACCCATTTGCCTGCCGGATAAGAACACTGAACTCGTTCAGGACCGCAAGTGCACCATTTCCGGCTGGGGTTCTATTAAGTCTGGAGTGTCTAGTAAGTGGATTTAAATGAGGTGATCCCTAAACATCATTAAATAATATTTTTGTAAATTTTCCTTTAGCTCCTGCTCAAGTTTTGGGTTCCGCTGAGCTTCCCATTCTAGCTGATCATGTCTGCAAGCAGCCTAATGTATACGGATCGGCCATGTCGGAAGGTGTGTAGCACACTTATTCTACTTTATGATTACTGAACCGTTTAGTAGTAGTAAAACTAGTTTGTGCAGGAAATAACCCCCGTATTCTACTCTATTTCAGGCATGTTCTGTGCCGGCTCCATGGATGAGAGTGTGGACGCTTGCGAAGGTGACTCAGGCGGTCCGCTTGTGTGCTCCGATGACGGTATGAATAGGATCTATTTGTTTGTGGGACATTAACTATTTCGTATTTTAATATACACTTTCAGATGGCGAGACTTTGTACGGCCTTATTTCGTGGGGTCAGCACTGCGGCTTCAAGAACAGGCCGGGTGTCTATGTCCGTGTCAATCACTATATCGATTGGATCTACGAAAAAATTAATGAGAGCTTGAAGCGTTTTTAAGGGAACCTAAGCCCCAACATTTTAATCCACCTTGACATGACTATTATTTTATAAGAGTTTTGTAGAGATTTAACAAATAAAGCAGATCATTTTGAAAATTATTTGAATACCAGTTTTACTTAGAGAGTCCGAATTTGTTACCTTATTTAAGATTATAATAAATTTATATGGCAAAGTATATTGAGAAAAAAAAACTTAATATTAAATGAAAGATTTTTTTAAATTTTAAACTGAGTGTTAAGTTTAACATTTAGAATCTGCAGCATAACTTTTTAGATCGTGTGAATTTACATCCACCAATTAGCGACTACAAACCAGTACGCGCCATTTACTTACTTACACAGAAAAATGAATTAAATCCATAATCAATGCTAATAAAACGCACAACAACAAGACGAGTTTTAGCCGGGGATACAACAATCGTACGCACAACAAACAACATCGACGACAATGATTTAATTCACAAGTCTGCAATGTTTTTTGACTCATCCCCCATTCAGCGGAGAGCTCTACTGGCTTCACTCGGTTCTCACCGAGTTCTTCTCCTGGCTGCTCCGTTCCACATTTTGGATCAATTGGTCCAACCGGAGGAGCGGAACACGCACTCAATTGACACCAGAAACGAGCGGTCAAAGGGGAGCACCCGGCGGCTTGGAGAAGGGGTAGTGGTGATTGGGGGTGGGGGTGGAGAGCTGTTTGGTCGCATTGTGCGGGCGTTGCACGCGCGATTGGATGATCGGCTTGGAAAGCGCTACAATTAACTTAATTAATACAACAATTTGCCACCATGCACCGAGCGAAAATGTTGGAAAGAGTGGTATATTGGAATAATAGATTATGTGTTTCCAAGATTGCTATAAAAATTTTAAAAAAATCGAGCTGTCAAAATATTATTACAAATATTTATAATCAACATTCAAAATTCTTATACGAATAAATGAACAAATTTAGAGCCAAAATGCAAAAAGATACGTGAGATCGACGAAAGGCTCATCCATATTGCAAATCATTCTCCCCAAAAATATCAGTAACTGAAATAATAGCATTTTGATTACAAATTTTTGAGATTAGAAAAATGGAATTCAAGCTATTGTAGTTTAACAAGGTTCTATAGAATCATAAAAATAGAAACATAACACTATGCAGCATCAAAAATTTACCTCGATGGATACTATATTTTTGGATTTGTTACGAATTCCAAAGTTAAACTGCGTTTTCCAAAAAGTTCCCCGACGCAAGGATTCTTAGCAAAAGGGCCTCAAAGTTCGAAAAATGCTGAAATTGGCCAACTTTGCGGAGCTCTCAGAGGCAAATGGATGCATGGCTTGGTTCGAAGTTAAAGTTTTTTAAAAGATACACCCTTTATCTTTCAAACCCCATACATAAAATAATTTTAGGATTTTTTTTAAGGCAGAAATAAATTACAAAAAACATAGTCAAAAAACTAAAAAAACAAACAGCTGCGGTCAAAATAGTAGCAGTGTTGCCGCCTTGTGTTTTTAAAAGTTTGATGTTGTAATTTTTTCTTATCCAATAAGTCTAATAGTAAAATTATAATCAATACAATATTACCAGGAAAAGATCAATTACAACAACAAACTTTTAAATACACAGGGCGGCAACACCACTACCATTTTGACCGCAGCTGTATACTTTTATGTTTTTTGACTATGTTTTCTAGAATTTGTTTCTGCCTTAAAAAAAATCTTAAAAATTTTTTAAGTATGGGGCTTAAAAGATAAAGAGTGTATCTTTTAAAAAACTTTAGCATTGAATCAAACCATGAATCCGTTTGCCTCTGAGAGCTCCGGAAAGTTGGCCAATTTCTGCATTTTTCGAACTTTGAGGTCCTTTTGCTAAGAATCCTTGCGTCGGGGATTTTTTTTGAAAATGCAGTTTATCTTAAGAATTCGTAACGAATTCAAAAATATAGCATCCATCGAGGTAAATTTAAAAAGCACTAATAATGCTGCACAGTGTAATTAATCTTTTACAATTTTTTGTTTATTTTTTATATATAACAATTTTTAAAGCTATTAATAAACTATAATTTATTTTTCTGTGTGGGAAACGAGACTGTTTTTTAATATTGTTTTTTTTTTGAGCGAAAGAGTGCGCTCGGGCGGTTCCTCGGGGTCTCTCGCTCTCTGAGTGAGATCTTTTGACTGAGTGATCCACACGTTGGGATTCTCTGTTAGTTTATTGTGAGATTTCATCTGGAACAGATCGCATTCAGTGGCTTATCAGTGGCAAGAGCAGTGGCTTCCGAAATGTTTACCAAATCCTTGGCTTACTTGGCGATCTTCGGCCTCTTTTGGGGCTCGATTTCCGGCACAGCAGTGGATAATTTCGGGTTGTATGGCGCTTCGGGGGTTTCCACCACGGAACGAAACAACGCGGAAATGCGTTGCATGAGCATCAATTCGCAGAATTCGGTGGATTTGGAACAGGTGAGTTGGAAATTCTTATAAGAAACAATCCTCATGAGTCAGGGATCAAGCAGTCTCTCCATATAGAGGCTCATTTAAATACGATAAACTCATCGCTGGCTAATGCAATTATGGTCGATTTGTTCTAATTAACCCTTTGCGCCCAGACTGCGCCCAATGTCAATGCTTTATAGCTCTGTGAGCCCTGCTTATTTATTTTTTCATTGTGGGCATTGGGCATTTAATTGAACGCACAGCGAGTGGCATGCAAATCGCACAAATGACCCCCATTCGCTTTCGTATGAGTGTGTAATAATGCCCAGCCTCTCTGACATATGTAGATAATGGGACTCTGGTACGGCAGCGAGATCATCGTGCACAGCCAAGACTTTCCGGGAACCTACGAGTACGATTCTTGTGTGATCATTCACCTGGCCGATGTAACTGAACAGGTGAGTTTCTAAAAAATCCAAAATATAAAGGTAGATATTAAAAACTAATCACTAAAAATATTACAGATTCGTCTTAGCCAATCGAATCGCGGCTATGGCTATGGACCTCAGGATTACAACAGGAATCAGAACAACTACGGACGCACCACTACCACCACCCAATCCTCCTATCTGGACAGCGATGAGTACCATCTGAGATCCAATCAGCAGGGCCAGCAGAGGTATTTGCGTTTGGTGTGGAGCGAGCGAGACAATAATCTGGAGTACACCTTCAACTACACCACCAATCAGCCGAGCAAGTGGTCCAACATCGGCGATCAGCGAGGATCATTGGTGGCCCTCAACACATACACCCAATTCACGGGAACCGTACAGGTGGTAAAAGCTGTCAACGATCACCTGGTACTCACCTTCTGCGGCAACGATGTCAAGAGCTCTATCTACACGGTGGTCCTCACCCGCAATCGCCTGGGCCTAAGTTCAGATGTGAGTAGTTTCAATTTTAATTATTAAATATAATTAGTAGTCTGACTTGCAAAATAATATTGTGATCACACTCAAGAAATTATTTGCTCCGAATTGAATTAATTTACTATTACTTAAAGATAATGGCATATTATATTATAGTTCTTAGAAACAATATTTTAAAATTTTTAAAAAGCCGCAGTCTATTCTTTTTGATATACATTTATATAATTTCTAAAAGGTATCCTTTTAAGATTGTTATGATAAAAAATATTTCCACATAAAAAAAGCTCAGAAATACGTTATATATATTTATAAAATATATGTAATACTTTTTTATTATTTTGAAATACCTACGTAAATAATAATTTTTCTTGCGTCAACAATATGTTATTTATTTAGTTGTAAATAAGTTTTTTAATGAATGGTTTTGCTGATAATCCAGGTTACTAAAGGTTATTCGATTACGACTTGCATATAAGCTAGAAAACGATTAGATCATTTGCATATAACATTTTCTGGGAATTTTTTTCCTGAATTCCAACTAATTGTTTACTGTTTTTCTGCAATTTTCAGGAGCTGCGCAGCATCCGGAATCTGCTGTCCCGCCGAGGACTCTACACGGAGACCATTCGCAAGGTCTGCAATGGATGTGGACAGCTGGGCGGCAGCCTCTTCGCTCTCTTCGCCCTTCTGCTGGTTATCCGCCTGGCCTGGGGGCGTGGCCAGTGAATCGCTGGAGGGGGAACGCCAGATCGCCGATCTTCAGCCGGCGTATTTAATGAGTCCAGCCATATTACGTTAATTTATGTATAAATTTCTTAAGCAATACAGTGGCGAGATCGCCGAATGCACTCCCCGAAAACTAACTCGCATTGCTTCCGTTTTAATTGCCCGTCTTGTCAATTAAAGTCAATTACGACGAAGGCAGGGCTGACTTAAGTGGGCATTAGCCGTTGGCTAGTCGTAGGCGTTAAGTGTTTGCTTAATTCAATTAGCAGGGATCTCCACCACCCGCTCGTTGGAATTTTGGTACCACTAATGACGGAACAAATTCGGTTCTGCGGCAACAGACCCCAAAAGTAGGCAATAAACAAATATAACAAATTACTCATACGCCGTGGTGACACAGTCACACACATCGAAATCCAATGCCACTTGCCTCTCTGATTACGTTGTTAGCACTTCGTTTTTTACACTATCAGCACTAACCGAAAAAACCAGCAGATGATACTTATCAGGCCTAGGCAACTGGCATCTGTAATCAGGGGTTTTTCGGTTTCGGAATAAAAAGAGTTAAGGCCCCCTGGGATCGAAGCCATAAAATCTTTGAAATTCACGCGATTTCGGGATCCCTCTTGTTTCAAAGTGCAAAAGTCTGGCGATGGCTTTATTTATAAACACTGTTGTTGCTTCTTTGTTGATTAGGTTTCTTTTTTGGCACAAATTGGGGACTCGCTTTGTTATCAGCTCAGTAGAAATACTAAAAAGTCTGGACACACTCGTAAAAAAGAAAACAAACTCTCCAAGCTCTCTGTGTGTGGAAAAGTTTGAGGCCGAAAAATATTCCCAACGAATGCATTGGTTCTTGAGACCCCAGCACTACCAGAAAACGTGGCAGGGCTAGAGATAAGGGCTAGATTGCTCAGACCCCGCTGAGACTGAATCGCACTTGAACTTGGAGTGTGATCATAGGTTATTGTATTTTTTTGTTATTGTTGACTTAACGATTCTTCACCCGCACACTTTCTGCCGGATTTTACAACGCCTGATTGCAGTCATAGACCGTGTGCCAGCTTGACGTTTTGTTTTGAAAATAAATAATAATTCACAGGCAACCGCCGACTCACAAAACTGATAAGAGCCCGTCGCACACGTAGAGTGCTCATGATAGTATTTCTATACAAGAGAATTAAGTAGATGGAGCATATCTTAGACCCCGGTCCGAATGCATAATCAGCCGGGGAGGATGTGATAGAATGAAATAGGTTAATGCGACCTCTGTTACGGCAGGGCAGCCATGAGCCAGCTAAATTTCTGTTGAAAATGTTTCATTCACAGATGAACCCCTCTAACGCAGAACCCATGACCTACAGCACTTAATTGCTACTGTCAGATAATTTTAGACAGCAAATCGTCTGGTGCATTATCAACTTTGACTAACAAAAGACGGATATCTCAGACTACAGTTGAAAATGGCTAAAGAATAATAAAGTTTATTTTTTAATATCCTATGATATTTACACATACATTAAATAAATTAAAATTAAAATATTTTAGTACTTTATTTAGATATTTTATATTTTAAAATCCGTAAATGGATTAACTAAGTTTAGCTACTAATCTCAGTTTTCCTGGAGCCTGGGTAAATAGGTCAAAGTTTCTGAATTAGGTCAGTTTGTTCTGCAGATGTTCGACTGTACATAATGATGATTTACGTCATCGCCTGAGGGGTATTTATTTAATTGTGCAATATTGGCACAGCTGTAGAGATCAGTCTTTGGACTTTGAGCTGCACTGGGGAAGTGCGATGGAGGCCATTTCTCCTTTTTGGTTACGGATACAAGTCTAGACACTATGCAAGGAGGGTAAACAAAACAATTGGCAATGGAAAACAACAAACTTTGGCTGAAAGTGCGTCGCATTTCGCATTGCATGCGGTTGCATGGCCTACAAATAATGGCCTGGTCGTAAGCTAATCAATTAGCAACCCTTTTGAGCAACACCTGATAAGCCCCAACTACTTGGAAGGAAGATAATGGCCATACATTCGCCAGTATAAAAGTGCTGATAAGGCATCGCTATAAATACTGGATGCGGAGCAGAGTGGGGCCACAGAAACGAATCGAGCGCGCCAATGATCGGACGGATCCAATAAAAAACCCAAATATAGAGCCCACTCTATAGCCGAAAGCAACCCAACTGTGATACCAAACGAACACACAATCCAAAGATGTCTGCTGCTAATAAGGTTAACCACTTGATCGGCGCGACTACGCGTTATATCGCCGGACGGAATGCGATGCAGACGGTCTACTGGAGAACCTCCGCCGGACCCAATCCCCGGATGTTGAAGACCAACAAGCTGCAGAACTTCGATCGCACCCAAAGGGCGCCCCAGAGTGTCCGGCAGCAGAACTACGATCGCACCTACATCCGGGATTAGTGGAGAAGCTAGTGAACTAGTTTTAGCTTCCGACCTTGACATGTTCCTAATGTCGCGATAGACATCATTTTTGTTGGGCACTTTGTATTTATTATATGGAGTATTTTCTAAGGCGATAATCGCTATCGTACGAATTAGAGTTAATCGAATCCAAATCAGTCCGGCGCTACGACTTTTCATGTACCTTGGCATTATATAAAAAAAACACACAAACCAAAGATTAAATAAATGCATTCTAGCGCATAGTTAAGAGAATAATATGTCGTTTTCTGGATCGAAGTCTGGCAGGGGTCTGCTAAATGCGTCATCACCTCCAAAGGCAATGACATAAATATAAATCGGATGACTATTCAGTGCACCTATATAATGAGAAGTCCACACATTATTTCGGTTTATTCCTTTTTTAAGATTTTATTTATTTAGTTTTATATTTATTACATACATTGAGTTCTCGTATATATATATTTTTTTGGATTTTATGTTTATGCTTTAGTTTCTTTGTTGTATGTAATTATTTCATATAATTTTTCATTTAGCTTTATAATTTCGTTTTTAGATATCGTTCTTACTTATTTTTTATAGTATATTCTCGGTTTTTTTTTTCCTTTTGGTTTTAGTTAATTTAATTTGCTTTTGTGGGTGAAATATGTTGACGTTAAATTTTTGGTTTGGTTTTCGTTTTTTTTTTATTTATTTTTGCGTCTTTTTATGTTTATCGGGTTGACCTTTTTACTTAAAATTACAGCCTTTATAAATAATTATTTTTTATGCTATTCATTTTTTTTAATTTTCCGTTTTCTCAAATTTTGTGTTCTTTTATATGTTTTGCTTTATACTTTTTATTTCGCTTGCCGTTGTACTACGTATTCATTTTTCTTTCGTTATAATTTTACTAAATATATATAGAGACTTTTTCCTTTCCGCATCGTATTTTGATGGATCTGAATAATTTGCACACATGTATGTATATATATATATATGTATACATATAATATAATTGTTATCTAAATATATACTCATATAGACCTCATATATATTAATTCATATTTGACAATTTCAGTTGGGCTTAGTGTCTGGCTTTGCTTTTGTAGTGTAGTGTAGTTCTGGTATTCCTCTTTTTCCTTTTCTTTTTTTTTTGCACACGGAAGATTTACACACATGAATAAAAACCGAAAAAATACACACAAAACTTTGTGCATTTTCTTAGCTAGCTTTGGTTTCCGTTTTGATACTTTTCTTGGAATATGTTATGTTATTTTATGACCTCGTTTATTTGTTGCCTAACTCAATTCACATCAAAACAGTTTTCGTTTGGTTTATCTCAAAAGAGAAAAATATATATTAATTATTATCTTTGTATTTTTCTTTTATTAAATCCATTTTCCATTTGGTTTTTGATTAAAAAATATTGCAGCTCAAAATTGTAATACTTTGGTTTTTCAAATTTAATTAATTTACTTTACTTTACTTATGTATGTCCCCTCTAAAGCATAGAACACAGTAGAGATCAGTTGGGTTATTTCTCTATAATCGTCCCCTCTGCTATCGCTAATCCTACTCTCCATACTCCTTCTATGCCCTCTCGAATCTCCCTTCTCCATGCTCCATGCTGATATCATTTCCATAGTGGGCTGCAATTGCTTGATCTGTAATTTCTTTGGATTTCGGGCGTGACTATATTTGTGTCGTCTGATTTACGTATTTCCTTGACTCTACTTTTTATGCTGCTCAGTATAGTATGTGTATATTAGACTCTTATGTATGGTAAATTGTTTGCTAGAAATGTGTTTTCTTTTACGGAAGAATTTGGATACATTTTCTTAGTTCCACTTGATTTAAGCTAAAAGTATAATTTGTCTAGTATTTTTATTACTCTTCAGCTAATCTTTGCTATGTATTTTTCTGGTAATCCTATCTCTCGGTTTATAGCACATTCATTGGGCGCTTTAATTGGCTTAACATAGGTGTATCGGTATCTGTATCGCGGCGTCGGTATCCCTCTCTACAAGTGTATTTATTTATCCTGCATCGGCTTCAGCACAGATTCTCACAATGTGCAACATGCACTTCGATTTAATTTTAATATTTCTATATATTTTGCAACAGAATTTCGGCTTTTCGGGGGAGGCCAGGATAATAGGGTAAATCAAATCAGTGGACAGTTTTGTCAGCAGAAGGCAATAACTGAAATTCTGTGCAAATATTTGTGGAAACGAGGTCGACTAATAAATCTACCAAAAAGGAATTCCAAGAAAACTGCATAAAAATTGCAAATGTTTTGTAAATTCTTCATTTTGTCTGTATGTTTTTTGGGGGTGTCGGTCTGTTTACTTCGATTCTCTCTCGTGACTAAAAATACTCAACAATTTCGTTTACATGAAACCATTTTAGCTACAATTTATATTTGTTGTATATATGGTTAAATATTTCCTACACATTCGCTTTCAACATTGATAGAAAAACCGCTTTGTTTTGTTCTTGTTGTCGTTTTGCTTTTCACCATTTGCCATGTTTTGCCTCTACATCGAGATCTCGCTCTAGAAATTGCTCTGTATATATTAGAAATCGTAATTACTCAAAAAGATTCTTTTGCTGACAACAATGATCCAAAACAGATTTTATAATGCGGATGTAATGGTGGCTAAGGACCCAACGGATCACTAAATACAACAATAATCCAAACACATCTGGGCGCTATTTGCTATCTGCACCTCGGTTCGAAAACTACGTAATGCACCTATGTGTGGTTAAGGTTAATCCTCGATAAATCTAAAAAGACTTCGTTGCACGTTTATTGTATTTTTAGGCTCGTCCGATCCAGGGAGATCTCGTCTAGCGATTCTATTACTCTGCCAAATAATGATCTACCGAAACTCAGATTTTCGTGTCTTCCGGATAATGGGACTTTTCAATTATTTTTATACAATATTCATCACATTTTCTTGTGGGGTATTTTTGCCTAGTTCTGGTTGCTAATTAATTTATTTATTATTGCTGCGCCGTTACTTTGTTAGTTACTAATGTAAGTACAATATCATAAAAATAAAAATAACACTGTATATTTTGTTATTTACCATTAATTTTCATTTCGCTTCTTTTAATTGTTCATAAATTATGCCTTTGTATTTTTGGTTTTAGTTTTACGCTTGGTTTTCTTTTTCTTTATTGTAAATATAAATATATATAATATATATCTCAGGTTTTCCGTTTATTAAGTACAATATAATATAACCATATACAAAGCGGCGCCACCAGCGAGCTCTCCATTCTGCATCCTCCGTGAGCCTCTTGACCTCTGACCTCCACCCACTCCGTGTGTGGCATTTGAAAAATTCGTAAACGGTTAGTACACTTTTAATATTCTTAGTTATTTTTTAGCGTCAGTCTTGTGTAAATTAAATTTTACTTCAAAAAACGTTTTAACGCGCACACACGGAGCACAGTGAAGCCTCGAGGCACGAACGCCCACTGGGCAGGGTGTCTGCTGCTTTCTTGAATCCGTCTTCTCGCTTTCCTCGGGCCGCTTTTTGTTATAAAAAATTGCTGCTCGACTTTACATATACATATATATATATATTTAATAAAATGTATATAATATATGCGTGTATACACATATAAGGTTTATTCAATTCACACGTAGACGTTTGTTAAAAAATGCATTTTTCTTATGTAAAAATGTTCGGCTTTTCCATTTCTTATCCGCCCCTTCGTAAATATTATAATTTGGTATCCGATTACCGCGTATTTTTATTTTTATTTATTTTTCTGTTTTTAGACGCCATTGAGATATTGTTCTTGTACATTTCTATATATGTATATATTTTCGCATATACTAACCATCGCCTAAGTGTATTTGTTTGGATGCCTCGTATAGATTATAATTACTTTGGTTGATCGCATTCGGGAAGATTAAAGTTTACACACGGTAGTGAGAGATAGGAGTTAAAGACGAGCGAGCTTAGCAAACCAATCGTAATTGAACTACATTTAGAGTTTAGACAAGTTTAGTCCTAATAAATTGCCTCCTAATTCCTTCGTTTTTTTTTTTTGTTACTTGGTTTTCCACTTTGAGATTAGAGCTAATTTGACACAACCGTTTAATTCAACTATTTTATCTTATCGTTTGCCTAACGATTTGCTTTTCGACTGTCGTGCTACTGAAAGATTCGTTGCTTTTCGTATTTCGCACCTGGAAAGTATGCTACACTTGATCTTGATCAGGAGGAACTGAAAAGGAAATAAAAAACCAAATACGATAAGAAAAATAAACAAGGGTTAGTTTTTGTTTCGGGCTCTCTTTTTTTATTAGCTTTAATAAATGACATTCGATAATCTGAATCCAAATCTGAATATGAACACTTCAATCATAATTTTGAATCAAACCTACACACACAGAAAGTAAACGAATTTTGGGTAATACATTAGGTCCGAAAAATCTCATAAAAATCACAACTACTAAAAATTAAACTAGGTAAATTTGGAAAAACTAACTTGGCTAAAAGGCTCAAAAGAACACAGGGATCAAAGATGCTATTGATCGAAAAAAGGGACTGAGCCCGAAACATTTTTCAGATTGCTATGCTTATGAAGCGCGAGTCCAATAGTCAAAAGGATTGCTCGGGGGTCAAGAGCTCAGATCGGGTGATATAGTCATCGGGTTTTGCAGTTGGTATAGTCATGGTATAGGGCTGATGAAAAGCCACTGGGGTTTTCCAATATTGAAGAAGTTTTGGATATGCTTCGGTTGTTGATTCGTTTGGCTGTGTTGTTATTGGGAAACGACGTTGATAATGTAACCCGCTATTGCTAAATATGGCCATTTCCTATACTCTTCCCTCTCTGTTTTGCTTACTCGCTCACACACCCTTCGCTGCCCGAAAACGGTAATCTTGAAACATAACGTAACGAAAAACAAAAATAACATTCTCAACTCAGGAACAAGTAACGAGGTAACCGATGGGGTGGTAAGCGTGAAGGTTTTTGGGGTGGTGGGGTAAGGTTCGAAATTAAAAAAGAAAACAAAAATAACTAGAAACCAAGGGGTTTTTTGAGGCGCCGCCATTATCATCGCCAGGATCCCGATTCCCATCGCTGTGGCTTCGATTCGCATTAGTTTTGAGACGATTCTTCCGCTCAGGTCCTCTACCCTAGGACACCACATTCTCTTTCCGGTTCTCCAGTCCCCTCCTTGATATTTTCTAATTTTGATCTCTTCCGGAGAATTCGGTCTTCTGTTCTGAGTTCTACTTGGTGTCGTCTCCTCCGCCGTGGCCCCTCTTCTAGACCCCCCCTCTGCTAGTGCCGTCGATAGTCCAGACATCGATAGCTATACCCTGGGCATGGTATCTCTCAGATCCTCGATACTCCAGCACGGCGTTTGTGGATGCGACTGGGGATGCGTTTGATGTGGGTTCGTTGAGGGCGAGTGCATCATTGGTGAATGGTTTTCTGTATAAAATATATATTATATGGTGCCCTGAATTACAAATCTGAGAGCGGGAAGGGGAAAGGCAAGGAGTAGTGCGGTGGTTTCAAAAAACGCACTCGAAACTCAATATAATAACCAAACGAAAAGCGAAGAGGGGAAAAAATCAAATAAACGCAAATCAAATATTTTGCTATTCATTTTTTTCATCTCGTTTTTTTGTGTTTTTCATTTTGCTAAAATTATTAAGTAGCTGTTGCTTTATTGTTATTGCTATTTATGCGTTCTTTTCTTCTTTCTCATTTCTATATTTATAGGTAGTATAGTGTGTGTGGGTGTGTATGTGGTTAAATATGTTTCTTTTTTGCTTTATTCTCTGTGATGATCATGGGGCATTATCCTCGTAATATGCACGTATATATAATTATACAAATTAGACTCCATAGAAGTAGAAACTGATCTGCCTTCTGGGCCTGCATTCTGCATTCTGCCTTCTCAGCGTTCTCGTCTATCTCTTGTATATATTATGTAATTGCTGAATTCATTTAGGTAGGTAGGTACTTAGTCTAAAAACATTTTGTGCTCTTAGTTGAGCTGCACTTAATCAGTTGATGTTCCTTCATTAAAATATATATTATTCTTTGCGCTATGATATATATGTATTGTATATATATAATTTTTCACTTTCCTTTTACGTTCGTCTAATTGCTATTTCTTTTTTGTTGGTTTGTTTGTTACTTGCCATTTGTTCATTTAATATATGTATATATAATATAAATATTCACTATATATAAACTAAATAGATTTTTACGATGGGACAATCTGCTCTCTGCTCTTTGCTGCTGTTCAGTAAAAACTTAAGAACTTCTTTTCGCTCTCCTTCATTCAAGTCGTACAATAAATTGAGTTTACAAACATTTTACTCGTCTCTTTCTTTTTCGTTTTGGTTTTTGTTTTTCTTTTGTTTGTTTTGTCAGCAAAAATGTTCATTCATTATTTAATTAATTAATCGTTATGGTTTTAATTATGCCTCGGCATTATCTTTATAATGTATATATGTATGTATATATCTGTATAATATATTTAATATTGTTTTAAACCTAAACAATTTATTTATGAATTTTCGCTTTCAAAATATCACGTATATACTTAAGTTATGCCTTGGATTTATTAGTTATGATCTGATATTTATCTGATTAGTCTGCGGAAGATAAAATTGCTGGGATGGCTGGATAAAAAGAGTGAATTGAACTCATTTCGAAATCAGACCATGTCCCATAAATTTGTCACTCCACCTCACTTTTCTCCCAGCAATTTGGTTCCTCTGGGATACTGGGATCCCAGGATTTGAACCCGTGCCTTCGAACTAAATAAAATCCCTATTGACTGACATACATGTAAGTACTCTTGGTTGGTGGTTTCTATGTTGCTTCTTCGACTTGATTTCAGTTTTAGTTTTTAACTAGAGCATGCCTAAGTGAATTATTGCTTTCCATTTCATTACATTTTGTGTTGCTTCGTTTCAACAAAGAGTGATTTCTAATTATTGTTACAATTCGATTTAAAAATGTTTTGTATTTAACTATTTAACAATTTAGTAAAAATTTGTCAACAACTTCGCAGCGAAGTCCATTTGCGGCGGCAGCGAGTCTCGAATTTAGATGGTCAATGGGCGATGGGCGACCTCGGCGACATCTGTTTTAGCAGGTATTTTTGAAACCTCTGGGTTGGTTTATTACGTTCGTCACAATACGATAACAGTATTTAGTGGGCAAATAATTTAGTTTCGTTCAATAAGGCATATACGTATATGTAAATATTTATATCGAATTTTCCGTTTGGGGATTCTTCACTTCAGCCAAATTATGCACCAATTTTGAATGAAATTCTTCGCTCCCAGGTCGCCGGCTGCCCCCGCAAATGTTTGGCCAACGCGTTCTCTATTACTTTAAATAATTTCGGTTAACACATCTTGCTTTTCTCGTTCGTGTTTTTGATTAGTTTGATGCCATGTCATCATAACAATAGATACAACAGAATCTTAAGTGAGTTTAGAAAAACAGAAATGATAAATCAACATTTTCGCAGAGTTTTGCTTGTTTTGCTTGGTTTTTCTTGTACATTAGTTTATTAAATTATTATATTATTTTACTTTTACGTTTGCTTGCTTTTGCTTTTGCTTTTCGTATATATTTAACTATATTCTTGTGTAACACACACCTATGAGTGTCTATGTATTGCTTGAGTTTTTATCTATTTACCTTGTCGCTAGAGCTTTGAGTTTAGCTTTCCTTTAATAGTCTCTCTAATATATGCCTCCCGTTTATACTGGCCGGGAGTTATGTGTATGTTTTTCGCATTTTTTAGCTAGCATATTTTGAATATCTTTATTGTAGTTTTTGTTTTTTTTTTTGTATTTAGTTCACTTTTTGCTTGGCTTATGTGGCTAGATTTTATGATTTTTACTTTTTCCTCCTTTTAGTATTTCCGTTTAGACTAAAATTTCGTTCAGTTTTCTTTTGCTTGGCTTACAAGTTAGGTTTTTTCCCTCTCAACGAATTCTGATCGAATAGTTAGGGGCAATCTTTATAGATTATCCTATACTCTCCGCCCAGGATTCGTGGGTGTGCGTGTGTTTGTGTGTGTTTAGTGTGTGTGTGTGCTTGCTTTGCTGCTTGACTTTGTCGTCTCCTTTGCTTATTCATCTTTTTGTTTTGTATTGCTGTATGTGTCTGTGTAGGACAGTTACAGTTACGAGTTACAATTACTTTACGCTTTATATGTATTGTATATATGTATATAAATTAATTTATGCATAATATTATGTCTTTAATCTTCGATCGCTGCCCCGCTTTCTTAGCTACCATATATAGTATATGTGTGTGTTATGCAATTTTACTCAGTTATTCCCTATATAGCATATATATAAGTGTGTGTTGTCCTGCACGTTTGTGAGTGGGTGTGTGTGTGAGTGTGTATTGGTTTTAGTAAGTGCTCTCCACATTTGCTGCCTCTGTATAATCCAGTTGTGTGTATTTAGCATGATGTTTCCTATATAGTATAGTTTAAATATGGTTTTAAGTTCTCCCCCCTTCTCCACTGCCTCTACATGTATTTTTCTGTCTTTCACTTGCTGACTTACCACACACACACACACTGCAGTTTTGTCAACGTTCCCTATTATAGCCCCTCTGTTCCTTTTACCCTCCCCCGTTCCACCGCTAATTGCACATCATAAATGTTTCCTCTACCAAAATGTTATCCCCCATCACTCATCACTCACACTCGCACACCCCAAACATCTCTAATAACATAAGCAGCTTACTTTACAGCATTTTGCAATGGTTTCCTTGCGTTTGCGTGTTTGTGTGTAGGTGTGAGGGTGTGCTTGTGTGGGTGAGTGTCCTTCCAGAGCGTCTACCTTCTGCCTTCAATATATGATGATTTCCTTTGACTAAACATTTCCGAAATTGCAGCTGTGGTGCGTTTTTCAGTGTGTGTGAGTTTATATAAATTCTATTTATGCTTTATAGTCTACTTTTGTTGTTGTGGATTTTTGTTGTTGTTGTTGTTGTAGTAGTAGTAGTAGCATCACTATTGTTGCTGTTGCTGCATCCTCAAAGTTAACATGGATAAATTCCTACAAAATAATTGAAAAAAAATTTGCAAAAACTTCATATATCTAGGAATTTATATGGTTGATATCGGTATTTTCATATAGATATATATATTTATAGAAGCAAAGTGATTGTGCCGACTACTACTATTTACATTCATTCTCTGCTATTTACAGCAAGCAAAACCGAAAAAAAAGGAAACCAATCGAAAGAAATCGAAGATATAAAAAATATATAGATGTAGCTAGTATTTCCCTTGCTATGGCATTCAACTAATTTACATTACATGTACAAATTTTTAGTGTGTGTGGCCAAAACTAAAGCTTCGAACTTAGCATAAATTAAATTAAATCATAGACATTATTAACATAATCGTAATCAACTAAAATTATAAACTAAGAGTGCGGCTGCTGCTGCAGTTCGATCAGAGTTGAGGGGCATATATAGCATATATAGCGTGGTATTGTTGTTGCTGTTCTGGTTGTTGTTGTTGTCGCAGATTGTTGTTGTTGTCGTTGCAGTTGTAGTTTTAGTTGTTGGTATGGTTTTATTATTCAGGGCAGCTCTCAACGAAAAATTGGCGACTACGAAAATTTGTTTACTTTATGTTTCTTTTTTTTTTTTGGATTTAACCTATTTTGTGGTGGTTGATTTTGGTGGTTGTTGTTGTTGTAGTTGGTGGTGGTGGTGCGCCAAGAAAAAATGAAAGAAAAGAAAGCAAATACCGATATGTGTAGGCTACGATAAACGACAAAACGACCAGCGAGCGATACTAAATACTGTGAAGCTGGCTCAGTTGAGACTCACCTTGGTAATTCTGAGGCCAAATGGTGGGTACATTCTGCAAGGCAAAATTTAAGAACAATTATATAAATATTTTTCACACAAAACTGTTGGGGCCGGAAAAATAGCACTTTGAATTATTATTTAAATCGGTTTAAACGAGCAGATTATTTATTAATTTTACATTTGCAATAAACCAATAACTATAAAGAAAATATTTAATATTTAAATAAAATATTTAAAAAGTGATGTAAATCATTCCGATATTTAATAATTATCTCCAGTGCTATTATTCTGACCTTATCTGCATTTGCTTCAACCGCAAATCGCACTCACCATTGGCACACTGTAGTACTGATAGAATGGCTGATATTGCATGGCTGAAGGTGGGTAGATGGCTGGCACTCCAGCGGCTGTAAAGTCAGTAACTAGGTTTGGTTAATTGTTTCCCAATTGATGGTGGTGGTGTTTTTGGTTGTAGTTGTTGTGTTGATGGAGTGTATTCGAATAGAGAGAGAGTAATGAAATATAAAGAAAAGAAAAACAAATGTCAATCAAAACCAAGTGAAACTCAGAGAACTTAGAGATGAGGACCCATCAACGCGGAGAATATTAATATTAATATCGGATTAATAGCTGCAGAACGATCATATCTCACCTGGCGGATATACAGCGGCTGCGAACTGATCCATGGGTATATTGCTCATCGGTGCCGGCGGCGTGGTGGTATAGTAGACGGCTCCGTTCGTGGCCACAATCGATTGCAGAGGATTGGGCTGGGATATGGGAAATATATGTATTAGCGGATATACAATATGATATAGTTAACTAGTACTCACCTGCTTCTTGATGGCCGGTGCAATGTTCAGTTTGCGATCTCGTAGTACCACGCACTCACCCTAAATTATTTTTTTGGCCAGGCGGAGATGGAAGAGAGAGACAGAGGAAGAAAGCATAAATGGAGGAGCATTAATATGGATCTATTGCATTATCAACACACAAGCCGAACGAAGAAATTCAAATTCAAATCGAACGCAGCAGCATCAAAAATTCTCAAAAAATAGTTAAAAATTAATGCGCAACGCTTTTGGTTTTATTTTGTGTCTTTTTTTTCATTTTTTGTTTTTGGGTTTTTAATCTTCTGTTCATTTTTTGCTTTTTATGGCACGGCCATGGCTAAGAGAGAGAGAAACACGTGCCAAGGCAAAATACCATTACCAAAGTTATGTATATATATAAAATATATTGTTTTAAATGTTTATACTGTGGGGTGTGGTGTGTGGTGTGAGAGTGTGTGTTTAAATTAAGTAGGGTTTATTACAAAATGTCATGTACATATGTTGCATAAATAGATTTGCGCTGTTTTTTGCTGTGTGTTTTAATTTGGCTTCAAAAGCAAATCCAATCGCCAACTTATTGTTCTCTTTGTTTCGTAATTTTCATTTTTCAATTTCAATTTTCGCGGCACAAAATTCAACAACATGTTTATTTTAATCAACAAACATAAACACAAAAAATTAATTAACCAGAATAATAAACTCATTTAAAAAAGTATAAAAACTGAAAAGGCACAAAAGCATTTAAAGAACAAAATTTAATTTGGAAAACAAAGCTTGCTTTTTGTTTTGTTTGGTTTCTTCTCTCGTCTCGTGTTCGCTGCTATTGGATAACAATGATAATAATTAAATCAATTTTAATACAAAAAACAAACTGTTAAACCAATTGTAACACCAACACCGAGTTAAAAATGTAAATATATTTAAATATATAGAGTCAGAGTCGGAGAAAGGGGAAAGTTTTAAATCTTGTGTATATAAACCTCTTTCAGTAAGCCTTTCCCAAGAACTTCTCAACAAGTTCCTTTTTACCCGAGGTAATCCCTTTTTAAAAATGCATTTAGCATCTCTCTTCGACCCAATAAATCAGCCAATTTACATTTAATACCTTTTCCTCCGGAAAAAGCAAACTACTAACGCAGATAGGCAGCCTCCGAGAGTACGGCCAGTTCATCTTTAATTGCCAATTAGTCCCGGCTGATACCCTTGTGATTTGCGCATGAAATGCATGAAAAGGACACAGCTCCACAAAGAGATAAGCCCAGACTCCTTGGCAGTTGAGTGGTGACCCCTCTTGGCAGCGGTAATAACCATTAACCTAAGCAAATGTTTGCGGGCCAAGGAGATGCTACTTTGTCGTTATAAAAAAAAAACCGGGGAAAAAATGTGGAAAATGAAATGAAAAGAAAAGCGAGGCGCGGAATGGAAAGGCACGGCACGGCACGGAAAACCTGAGCCGCCACTGCCACCGCGTATCCTTTTCTGACCGCCTCTGGGCAAACATTCTTTTCATTTATGTTCGAGTTGGCCGCCCTCGAGCCATCGTCCTCGGCCAGCGAGCGACATAAGGATAAGGGCCATAACAAAGGGCCAACAGTTGAGAAAGTAAACTAAAGATGAAACGTATGGCAAGGAGCCGCTGGAAGGCCCTGAAACCCCTGCATCCACCCTTCTTAACCACTCTTCTTGTCTTGGCTGAATTTAATTAAGAATCCTTTTGCTGGCTGGCTTTTACGGTGGTGCCCTTTTGTTTCAGCTCACAAAAAGGACAACAAAAAGCCGGCCCTCCACTCTAAAATGATTTAAAATTGAAGAGTCGTCGTCGTCGTCGTCGTCGTCTACTCCTCTCCGGTGAAGGAGTAGGTAAATCTCATACATTCGAAATGTGCGTTTCGAGTTTATTTTACGGACCCAAATTTGCTCTAATCTATATGTATTTGTGTGTGTGTGTTGCGTAATTATGCATGTATGAGGTGACAATGGGCGCTGGGCGGAGGGATTAGTTTGCCATCATATAGAACATATACACAAAAATTAGTATACGCAGTGGGAGAGCTTTGGATATAGTGGACTGATATGATATATACTCTCTCTGGTATATAGTAGTGGTTTTTGGGATTGCGGTCACCACGAACACTACAGAAGGCGACCCCCATTTTGTGGCTCTTGATGAGAGATCGTGGTCGAAAAAACTCGAACTAAATGCTAAACTTTTCTAAATGAAATTTAATTAGTGTAATGTGTGTTGTCTCCTCTGTTTGGGTGGTGTGTGTAAATTATAAAACTTGGTTAAACGTTGCCAGGACTTGTTTTTATTGTTGTTGACTGTTCTGTTCTGTGTGTGCCCGTTTTCAGCTTTTGCCTTTTGCATAGAGTGTGGTCGTTGTTATCCTTGTTCTGCCGCCGGGCATTATGCTTTCTGCTCTCCCTTTGCTTTCACAAGGACACTCGTGTCCCAGACTCGGGCAACAGAAGCACCAGCAGCAGCAGCAGCAGCAACAACAAGAGGTGGAACAACAACCAAACCAGAACGACAACAATGCATATTAATGACGAGCGGCAAAAGTTTTTCACTTAATATGCCACAGAGCACGGCGGAAGCTTCAGAGCTTCGGAGCCTCCGAGCAGCTTCATCATCAGTATAGAGAGGGTAAAAAGTAAATGGGAATTTTCCCAGAAATGGGTAAAAGTTGCATCACTCGGGCAGGCCAGTGGCAGTGCCAGTGATTATGCAATAATTATAATCAATTAGTATGCCAAAACAAAATATGGCAGACAAGTTCATTTTGTAATGAGCCACCTGGAGGCAGAACTTTTTATGGACCGAACTGAACCTAGCCCAGATCTTGACTCTATATAGTCAAGAAACAAGTAGCAGCAGCTACACGGGAAGAAATCAAAATATCTAAGAAAATTTCTAGTATATCTAATACATTTTCAAACATTAAATACTAAACGTAATGCTCTCAATTAAAAAATTCGATTGCTTTAATTGTAGATTTCCCAGTGTAGCTTGAATCAGATGGCAGAGAACGTGGGTTGCCCTGGAGAGCAGGTGATTGGACTGCTAACTTAGGGGGTCGAGATTGATATATATGTATATAATATTCCCTAGGAACTTTTACGGCGCGCACTTACTTGCTGGGGGTTGGAATTGAAATTGGATTATTATTATTGTTACTGCCGCTGTTGGTTCTTTAATTATTCCGCAATTGGAAAACTGTGCAATACACAATCGATTTGTAATCAGCAAATTAGGCAAAAACGGAAAAGATGTGCCAACAATGCAACTTTACACTAACGAATAACTCAAAACGGAACTCAAGACTGGATCAAACGAATCAAAGGCAACAAGGCAACGCACTAAGGTATTGTCTATATAGTCTAGTCTATAAAGTCTATGGAGGCCGCTTTTTCGATTTCGAATAGCGGAGCCAAAAGAGCAAAATTCGCTAATTGTTTAATTGATTGCATAAAATGAGCATTAAAAACGGTGCAACGAACTCAACATTGTTTTGCATTTGCATTTGATTTTGGTTTTTTGGTTTTTGTTTTTAGCTTAACGGGCAAACTTCGATATATCAATAGGTTGGATACGTGTGGGTGTGGGATCAAAGAAATATTGAAGGAAAAGTAAGGCTGCCTACACTTGGGGGGTAGTAATAATGTGGGTTATATAACGGGGTGAGTGGTGGGTGTGTGTTGTAAAGATGTGTTTTTTTTTGTTTCTGGCAATGAAACGATATAAGGAACGCAACGGAATCGAATGTAACGTAACGGAATGGCAACGCAACGGAAATGTAACGTAACTCGGAAACGTAAACTCAACAAAAACGCAATAAGAAGAAATTTATAAAAGAACAAAGTGCCGTCCGTACCTAAGGCGGTACATCTGATCATCATATATCATATATCGCACAATGGCGACAATCATATGAGGTATTTCTTATGTGGGACCCCCCCGCGGGGAGTGTTGGTGGTAGTAGTAGTAGTAGTAGTAGTAGTATCAGTAGTAGGAGGAACCGACGTCTCATAGTAGTAGTACTTGTGTGTGATGGGTCAGGTAATGCCCTAAAAGATCGGAGCACAATTTTAAGTTGTGTTGCAGTGTGATTTGTATTATATCTTTTCGTAACGCGATTGTAACAATCGAAAAAGCTCTAAGAGAGGTTGTTAGGTTCGTTCGTTCAATCGTACGTAGGTTGTTGGTGATGTTCAAGATCGCTTCTCATCGGTATCGAAATCATAATACTGGCAGTTTATCATTTTTTCTTTTGTTTTGTTTGGTAAACGTTCAACAGGCGACATTAGCAACAGGTCAAAGGAGTATTACTTACATCCGCTTGCAGTCTTTGCGCCTCCTGCTCCGTTTCGAAGGTGACAAATCCGTAGCCCTTGCTGACGCCTGCCCGATCCACGATGATCTTGGTGCTCTTTACCGTTCCGTAGGCGCTGAAGACGCGGGTCAGATCGGCCTCGGTGGTATCGCCGCTAAGATTTGGAAAATATATAGATTAATAATATTAACCTTTTAGCAATATTTGGAATCCTTAAAGAATCTTTTGCAAATCGCTTGAGAATTTTAGTTTACATAAAGTGCTTGAATATAAATTAAATATGTATATTTCTGATAGTAAAACAACATCTAGTCTTTATTATTATCTAATTAAATTATGGTCTGTTTTTAAACGTTTTTAATAACTTTTTCTTTAAACATAAAACTGCTATATAATATTAAATTTATATAATCTATAAACAAATACGAAAGCATCTAAATTATTGCTACAAAAACTTAATATTTCATAAATACAATTTTCCTAAACAAATATTTGTAATTACTTTAATGAATTTTGCAGCTCGACGTTAAAATCAGTTGACAAAGCCCTGTTAATTATTTGATTTGCATTCCAAGAAGTATTTCCAAAGGAAAATGTTTCTTTTGTGATGTCTAATTCTACAGAATTCAAGGATGCCTTTCGCATCAAAGGCGATTTGTAAAGATTCATGGAATAGGTGACCACTTCAAAGGACCATCTCACCTGATGCCGCCCACAAAGATGCGGTTGGGTATTAATGTGCCGTATTTGGGCGCCGCCAGGGGCGTCTCCAGTCCTCCGCCGGGCGCTGCCGTTGGAGGCGGCGCTGCCGCGATTTTGTGCATCTCTGCGGGTGTCGTCTCCAGACGAAAGTTGGGGGCTCCGAAGGGCAGAATCTTGAGGCTGTGGCTGGAGATTGGGGGTGCGCGCTGGCCAAAGAGTTCTTCTCGCTGCCGTTCGTTGGATCGAGCGGCTCGGCTGTTGGACTATATCGAATTCGAGTCGAATCGGATCGGATTAGATGGCGAGGCGATTATGCGGCAGCTGGGACTATAGAGATGGTTTCCACTGGTTTAGTTGTAGCACGCATGTATACAGTTTGATGTGCTCCTTTTTTGCTGACTGGCGGATTCTCGAAATCTGGAAAATAATTAAACACAAAATTAGTTGAGCTCATTAATAAGCCATTAAAATAATCAGCCCCATGGGCAGCAAAACAAAGGGGACGAACCGAGAGAGAGAACATTTGAATCTCGGGGAACGAAAAAAAAAAAACTAAAGAATTGCCCCCTACATTTCGAAACGAATCTATTTCTGGCACAGCCGACATATGTCACACGAGGAAAACTCAGCGCAGGCAGGCTCACAGATACGCACCCATACACAGGCAGGGAAAACTAGAGGTAGTCGTCGGGCACCATGTGTGCACCATAAATTCACCTTCAGAAGCGGCGGCGAGACAACTAAATAGCACAGAGAGTTTAATTTTAACAGCAGCAACGGAATAGCAGCGGCAGCAGCAGCAGCAACATCACAGCCGCAGCAGCAACAATAAACTTGCCTTGTCAACAACACGGTTTGAAAAATTTTTTGGGCCACACGAGAGGCGAAATGCACACAGGAAAATATGATAACAGTTCCTTATAGATGATATAACTACCTTATCAATAAATAAAAATATTAGCCATACTTAAGAGTAATTATAAAAACTTAAAAAAATATATTAAAGTGATTGCAAGCTCAACAATTTTTGGAACCCGTCTAAAATTATTATTATTATTTATCGTCCCTTGAAAAAATAATATTAAATGAAAGAAATAGTTAATTTATTAGTTACGTTTATATTCTACATATTCAAAGTTAAGATCATATTTTAATTAGGAGACCAAAATTGTCCCCAAATTGTTCTCTGTGCATCTAGAAATCATACGTGTTGCTATGAGCTGCAGATGCCCATTATAATTGCGATCGAGAAACTTCAACATGCACTAATTTGAGTTCGAGTCGAAATACATTCGCAGCCTTCGTCAAACATTTCATTTTGATATATGTGTAGATGGGTTTGTAGATGATGTTTGCATGTTCTGGGCGTCGCATGTTTGCTGGCCCCCGCCAGCACTTAATGATCCATATATATTTTCGTATGCAAGCAGTGGGTAGTGAGTAGCATGTAGGTATCCCTGGCCATATCGGCCTTTGTATCTCAATCCGTATCCGTGGTATCCGTATCATTTGGCTCATCGATGATGGGCGACGCGACGCGCTACCGCTGCTGGTCGCTTATCGCTGGGCATTTATCTCGGGACAACTGACAACAACTGTCCGGTGGTAACAAAAATTCCAAATGTACGGGCGGATTCGATTGGCGCACACACGCAGCAATGAAAACATAATTAAATTTTCATTAACAATGAAAATGTCAAAATTGTTTGCGTTCCCGCTGAAGTTGCGCTATGCCAGGCATTTCAATTGTACAGCGGAAGAACCGATCGATTTAAAGATATATGTAGGTATATACACATATGTATATATACTGACTGAAAGTCGGATGCACGTATGAGATATCAATTTAATGGACTGTGTGGGAAAGCTGTTGGCAACACGTGATTATATGGCTCTATTTCGACCCATTTTCCGTATCTCAAACAAATAAATTAACGAAATATAAGTGCTTGTATAAATCAAGGCAATAAATTCTCTTAGGCGCAATTAAAACTAAATCCGTAAATATGCATAAATGCAAAACCGAATAACAGATATATCTTCCGCTCATTAAAACGCGTCACAATTCCAAAAAAAAAGGAGGGGAAAAAAATATTGAAATATTTTTAGAAATGAGAAAAACAAATCAAGTGACGTTGGTCAAAGGAATATAGCAGAATATATATCTGTTCCGTCTGCCGAATATACATACATTTTTGCTATATTCCTATATTGGCTTGGGCCAACGGAAAATTGAGAAAAACTAAAAGCTTCGCCATAGATTTTCTAGGCTTCTCGAGCGGATGTGGCCGGCAGCATAAAGTGGGTGAGGCGAAAGCTGATTTGCCGATGGCTAAGTGCCCCTGACATGATTCATGATGAGCAGCTAAGATGGGGCACGGTCCTCATGATTTATGTGCGGCTCTTAATTATTTACAATATTATGAAATTATTTTTGAGAACTTTATTCCTGGGCATTAGCAGAATTAATGATGGGAGGATAGTAAAATGGCGACAAAGACAGAATACGGAGTGGAGCAGGGCCAGCAGCTGAATTATTAAAATGTTCATTACTCCATGGCCATGGCAACTACACTCAAAAAAAAATTTTAGAAAATCGCCTATGGATTTGCTTTACTGGCGATTTTTTTCTATATTTCTGGAATATTTCTTGAATTTAATGAATTTTGATTAATTGGAAGAAAATTTTCTTTACCAGTAGAAAATTTTTTTATTTTAAAGAAAAAAATCGCCAGTGAAGCAAATCCATAGGCGATTTTCTAAAATTCAGGGCGATTCATTTTCTGAGTGTACGGAATACGGTGAAGCGACAGCAGCAGCAGCTACTGAGGTCAGCCGGAAAATCACGGAGTCAGGTCCAGAGTGGAGCTACTGTTGTTGTTCGCAGCATGACAACGGCAGCGCTATCAATGGAATTTAATCAACACAACAGCAGCAGCCAGCTCAAAACTCTCACACAATCCCCACCCACATCCCATCCCAGCTATCCAACCATCCACCCATCCAACCGTCCACCCACATAGCTGTCAGTTAGTCAGTCACTCATTCAGTTGAGGTGCTCGTTCTCGTGCTCAACAATATTGCGAAATTCCACGTGCGAAAATTGCGCGAGTAATGCCAATGGAAACGGGAACTGTCAGGGAATTTTATATTGCCAAAAGAGGGAAAGAGTTCGTGCCACAAATACGTCTGGTGAATGCTCGCATTTATGCCGAGATATGATCTGAACAATAGAAAAAAACCGTAAACAGTACGAAAAAAACCTAGAGAATTTTTAATCCCGCAGCGCCGAAATGCGCGTATAATTACGAAATTTTGTAAAAACCACAGCCTTGGCAAAGAGTTGGCGGAAAATAAACCACAAATATGATGGCGGCACTGCTGGAGAATTTTGATATAATGAAGTGAAAAACTAGGGGATAATGTTGACAAAGGGAATAACATAAACCGAATGGGGGTCCATCATAAAAAGGAAAATACTGTTTACCAAACAGAATTTAATATCTCTATAATGTGCAAACCACTGTTATGAAATCGAAAAAATGCGAGGAAAAATAAATTACAATTAAATTTTTTTATAATTTTTTTTTTATGAAAAGGGTAATTCGGTTTTGGGAAGAGTAAAAATCATATAAAATAAAAACGAACCCAAGGATGATTCATTCCCCGAATTCTTTCAACGCAGCAAATGGAGAATAAATCCCCAATTCGTTAACAATTTACAGTTCTATATTTGATATCGCGGGGATTAAAAAAACATTCTGCTAGCTGGTTGGATTTTTCGCCTTTATGTCCATTTTTGGCACATTTCAAGCGTAACTTGGGCAATTAGGGCAATGCAATTAGTGAGCGCAAAACTATTGAATAACCAGACTGCGTAGCCCAGTGGCAGTTGGCAGGGGAAAAAGAGGAAAAAAGGGGCTAAAAGAGGGCGGCGGGAGAGAGTGGAAAAGTGGGCGGGGCAGTGGGAAAGTCAACGTAGAGTAGTTGCTGAAGAGAGTGCAAGTTTGACCTATAAAATGGCAACGTGGGCGCGCGCTTCACTTGGCACAGATACGAAGTAGTAGCAAGAAAAAAAAGGGAAATGAAGCCAACTTACAGCTGTGGCCGAGGCAATGGGAAAAGGGAAGGAAAAAGGAAGGAAAACCGAGAGAAAACCTGAGGAAAAGGCAAGGAAATTAAAGGGAGGAGGTAAGGAAAGTGAAGGGAACCAAAAATAGGAACCGAAACCGGAAGGAAAAAGAAACCCCGAAGGCGTAAGCACTATTTTAAAACTAAACTGCCCACATGAGACAGACACCCGAGGAGCAAAAAAACCCCACAGATAAGAAAGAACCAGAGTTCTCCTAGCGGACCTTCACTGTATCGCTTTATAGCGTTGCATATGCACACCTGCATCCTTGTGTGTGTGTGCGTCCTTGCCAAAAACAATAAAGAACAGACCCCAAGGCGAGCGATAAACGCTGACACAGAGAAAGCGCAGAGGAAACCTCGGCGAAACAGGACCAAATGCGCCAGGCAGTATGCTACACAAAATATGGAGTATACACAGGAAAAACGAAAGGATATCGATTGCAAATAGCAAAGCTATATAGCTTTTAATAAATAGGTAAATATTACAGAATATGGAAAATTCTAAACCACAATAATTTGATTGTTTTTACTTTTTTAACGAAATCCTAAAATTTTAATTATGCAAAAAACTAAAATGATATTGATTGTAGATTCAGAGATTCTTAAATCAAAGGAAACGGCAAGTTTAATGGAAAATAAATATATAACACATTATTATGAATTGCTTTTTAAACGACATCCTAAAATAGGTATCTTTACGAAAGAATATATTATGGTCAATTGTATTATTTCCTTTTATTTTTTACCATTTACTAAATCTCATGTTCTACATGACTTATAAATTTACAACATAAATCTTAAACAATGTAGCTATACTATCTCATATTTTTTCCAGTACAACTAGAGTTAAGGCAAAAAGGGATGCAGGATAAATCCTTTAGCTCGCCAGGTGCGGACGACTAGGGCAAACGACAGACGGCAGACGACCGACTCCCGTATCCTCAGTTGGCCAGATAAGCGTATACAAGTCACATAAGGACAATTAGCCAGCCCAGGCTCAAAGAGTTTAAGAGGGCATAACTGTCGACGTGACGGGGGGGAAGTGGGGGATATGGGTGGGTGGGGGAAATTAGGAGCGGGCAGGGAAAAGCGAGCGAGGAAATCATGTTGATGGCTGAGGCATGACGATGACGTTAAAGCGTACGTGTTGGTGAATAACTTAAAACGAAAGAAAGTCAGTGGGTGAAGATGAACTGAAGAGGAGGGAAGAGGATGGATGGATGGGTGGCGAGTGGGCTGTGGGGTTTAAAGCAAAGGTCAATTGAAGTTGCGGTGCTAAAACT